GATGATCTAAAATGCTATAAAAAATCAATTGAGTCAATGGTTCACCCAGTTCACTCACGAACCAAACTGAACCGAACCGCCTATGAACCAGCTCAGGTTTGAGTCATCAGTTAGTGAACCGTGATCATCCTTAATCGTGGCACATAAAACATAAACTAAATACAAAATCTAATTGGTCAAAAGTAAATGGTACCTATGCTACTCTTATTATTTAAAATTTTATTAACATATCCGCCGATCTGCGGAATTAACAAAATTCATCTAAATTAAGGAATTTGACAATAATTTAATAAAAATTAGGTAAATTAAGTTTCGCAAAAATGATCCCACTTGTGCTACATGATCATATGACGGATATCAAGAAATTACTTCAACAAAAAAAGTAGCATTAAAAAATTTTCTTCTTTCGTAAACTCCCTATTAAACTCCCCATCAACTCCCCCATAAACTTTTCAACCAGTTTTTACATCAAGTAAGTTGAGAATTTCTGCAAGTATATTAATTATTTTATATTAGATACAACTTGGAGCTGTTTTTTTATTTTTATTTTATAGTTTATAGAAAAAATTTATTTAGAAAGCAAAATTATTCAAAAAAAATCTCTCAATAAATAAATAACTCTAAATATTAATAATGATGTTTTAGTGAATTTAGATTATGTATTGATTAGCTGTTTAATTAAAATCTATTTGATATTTATTATTAATTATTTTTCAGTTAATTTTTTTTCGTTAAATCATTAAATATTCTGGATTTTGTAAAGTTTTTCTTCTTTTTTTTTTTAATAAACTAACTTTATAATATTTTTTTCCTTTTTTTCCTAGAAACTCCTTCTATTGGTTTCAGTTTTAAGAGGTAAATATTTTGGGAGAGGTCTTAAAAGTTTTTTTTATATATTTTTTGACATTTTTTCTTACGTAGGAACAGGTTTTGCGCCATATAACTGATGATCGGCAAATTCTACAAATCGGTGTATATGATATAGCTTAAAATACATTGGAATGGGTTACGTTTAATTCACTAACAATTACTTCACTGACAACCATTTCACTAACAAATGTTTCACCGATATATATACAAAATTAAATATAAAATTTTATAAATATATCTTTATATGGAATAGGGGATTTTTTTTGTTAGTAACACGTATTTCTTTGTTAGATTTAATAAAATACAGAAAAACTACTACTATATATTTCCTTAGGGGAATAGCACATACTTTTTACAATTGTTTTGTTGTGATGATCAAAACAAAAAAGTTTATATATATATATATTTGTTAGTAACGCGCATTACTTTTATTATTTTAATGAAATTTATAATAACATATATAAAAAAAATAAAAAAAAATACAATAGATATAACTATATGATATCCTATTTACTAACCCGTCTAAGATGGAAATAAGTATCAATTAGATCTAAACTAAATATCCAAAAAGTTTTTATAATAAAATATCTCATATTCAATATTTATTTTTTATGTCAGTGAAATGATTGTCAGTGAAATGAACCAAACCAATTGGAATTTGTATAAAGGTCATGTTTATAAATTTATAAAATTTGTTGAAGGAAGTTTGAGAAGTATGAAAATTTAATTTTTTAAATATTTTAAAAGTGCAAGAAGTGAAAATTTTTGCAATTAAAATTTTTCTAAGATAAATGTTACGCAAAAAAGCAAATGAGGCTGATGCACCACAAAAAATCACATGGGAGTAGAAAAGTGATGGTGATACTGGGGTAAATTTGAATTTTCAGCATCGGTAAACTGTATAACTGAAACTGACTGGTAATTACCAATTACTGATACTGATTTACTTACTCTTGATGTTTTATGTTTATTTTATTACAAAAAACTATATTAAAAAATAAAAACTATATATATATCACCATTTAATAATAACCTATCTAAATTTTATTATAAAATCTTAATTTTTTAATACACAAAAAAAGATTTTCATATAGACCTATACTATTAATCTAAAATACCTAAACAATACCAATGCTTTAAACACATAATAGCAATTGTTTCTGGTGCTCTATCTGATGTTACTACATTGAAAATATCCTTTCTGAAAGTACATTTGTGGCTAAAATATAAATGATTAAAAATAATACTAAATGATAATAAAATAGAACAGAAAATATACCTGGGATTCCTAAATAATCCTTTGCCTTGTGTCGCTATTAAATATTAATAAAACATAATAATATTTTAATTTTAAATAAATAAATGATAGTGTTTAAAATATTTTTTACCTTCCACCAATGGTATATGATCACCTTTGATAAATATATCAAACTCATTTGATTTTTCAATATGTTGTCATTTGGAATATGAGTAATAAGATCCTCATCAGATGAATCATATTCATTGCTAATGATGTTAATTTCTATTGGTGCATATTTTCCTTGTAAATTTCAAGCACCTATCAAAATAAAAAGTATAATTAAAATAAAATAAAATTTAAAATATAAAAAAAAAAAAAAATTAATACTTTTTTCTTTGCTGATTTAATCCATCATTTATCCCATTTTTGATCTTTCATGTATTAAATTTTAAGTCATGGTTCTAGAACTATTGAAAAATAAAAATATAAGTTTAAAATTAAATTCAAACTTTAATGATTTACAAACTATCGAAAATTAATAACTTACCTAAAGAAATAGTGTATATAGATGTATCAGTTTTATCATAATATTCTAACAGTTTACTAATTGCATTACTTGCTGCTTCCTATATATAATTTAATATAAGAATTTAAAATTTGAAATCAAATATAATTTAAACTCACCTTTCCCTCTTTTGAAACATTCAGGTGAATTCCAAAAATCTTCTAATTTACTTATATTTTTTTTAGGGTTTTTTTAAAGTAGCAAAGCAAATATGTGCTGAAACTTATCAAACAATAGCATATTGTAATATTTGATAAGTTATAAATTATAAATAAATGTTAAATATTAAAAATACTTTCAGTTTTTTAAATTTACCTTTAACATTAGCTCAATTTCTGCAAGACATTCCCATCTGTTTCATTCAGTGTAAAAGGATGGAGATTTGTATCACTATTGCTTAATGTATTTATTAATGGCTGTAGTAATAAGTTAATTTAATTCTTATTTTATTATAATAAATAAAATTTGAATACAATAATTAATTTTACTTCTTTTAATTCTCTTGCTCTAAACAGCATTTCAAAAGTGGAATTCCAATGAGTCCTTACATTTAATATGATCATTTTATCAGGAACAACTGCAACTTTACATTAAGCACTAAATTTTTCTCTTTTTTGTGGGGAAGCTCTTATTTACAAATAAGAGTACGTAGCTATATTTATAATTTATTTAAATATTATTAAATATTATTAATTAAGTTATCAAATAATATTAACAATTAAATAAAAAATTATTTACTTTGCATAAATACTTCCAACTACTCCAACTTGATTATTAATATTTTGCATATTTTCATGTTGTTTCAAAAAATTCATCTTCATTTGTATTCACAGTTGCTTTAAGTGATTTAAGTGACTCTTGAGCAGCAAGGTTGCCAAATAATGAACATGTTGATTAACATTATCCAATTCTATATTTTTTTCTGCAAGTTCATGCGAAACTTCTTCAAGAAAGGTATTGTTGTTACTGGCATTATCAGTTGTAATACCAAGTATCTATAAAAAAGTATTTATTTGATTATTCTGTTATAACTTATAATTTACTTATAAAATCATTTAAATTAATTATTTATAAAAACTAACCTTAATTATTTATAAAAAAAACTAACCTTAGTCATAATACCAAATCTTTCTTTTAAGAAATTATTCTTTAATATTTTTTCCAAAATGTGATCCTTCAAGTTTAACAAAATCTAACAAAATATTTTTCAATTTCCATTCATTTGAGATCTAATGGGCAGTGCTTAAATTTGAATAAAAGTAGTCCATTTTATGTTCAAAACCTTTTTTTGAAAGTCACATATAAAAAATGTTGTTTTTTTAGTTCAAAAGTAAATTTATTTTTAATCTGAAATAAAATTTGATGTTACTTATTTTTCCTAAATTTAATTTGATTAGTCAATTTTTTATCATTTTTTTATATTTTTATTAAAAGATTTTAAATATATGGATACCTTTTGTAGTCTCTAACTCTATACTGAAAAGTTAATAATATATTATTTTGGATAATAGTATCCAATTGTAATAAGTTTAAAATACAAATTTTTATACCTGTTTAAGTTTTATATATTAGTAATAATTTCATAATATTATAATTTAATCAATTAATATTTAGTATTTTGATTATTTTCAGAAAATAGGAATACAAAAAGACTTGATCAATAATAATTATTCATTATTTCAAGGCAGATATTAGGTGTAATGGTATCTCTAAGGTTAAGTCAAAAATTTTTTTTAAATATTTGAAGTATGGATTTGGATATTGAACATAAATATTCTAAGCAAATTGCAAATAAACATTGTTTCAATAATTATCATTACTTGTATTTAATACTGTAAATACTGTAAAAGTATATATAATAATAATGATTTCGTATATACAGTTAGAATTAATAATCTTCAATCATACAATCAAACCCTTGAGACTCTACTTGAACTAAAATTTCAGTAAGTTTGCGACTTGTAAAATGTGCTTGTGGATGAGATTGGATAATAGAAGTGTTTACTTGTTTTTGCACTAAAGATTTATTTGCTTCTACAAATTCAAGCATATCATTTGTTAACTGATCATCAATATTAAGTAATCTATATTTATAATTTTCATCCCTGTTTACTTCATAATATTTATTAATACATCTAATCCATTCAGATATAATATTTTCAAGCATTATTATAGTTGGTCTATTGGAAGGATTTAAATCCCAACATTTCTTCATTAAATTTGTATAACATTTTGGAGTATTTTTCGTAATTTTAGGACGTTTCCCTTCATAAACACTCAAGATAAAGTGATGATCATGTGCTTCATAGTTAAATGGAGGGATACCTGATGTAAATTCCCACATTATCATTGAAAGGCTATAAATATCACTTGCTGAAGAGTATGGTTTTTTTCTTAATATTTCAGGCGCCATATAAGGTAAAACTCCATAAATTTCATTAATTTTTTTATCAGAATCTTGTAAATCACTTATAGGTTTGCTAATCCTAAATCAATAATAAATAACTCATTGTAATTATCTGACATTAAAATATTACCATCATGAAAATCACCATGAGTTAAATTTGATTCATGTATTACTTTAAGTCCTAATATAATTTTTTTCAATAATCGTAACTTATCTTGCCATTTGAATTTAACTATATCAGGTAAACATTTTCTCAAACTACCTTTTTTTGCATAACTCATTACTATTATATAATTTAAGTTATTTGGATCTTGGGTGAATCCAAAGAACTGTATAAATTTTGAAAATGATTTTTTCTGACAATTATAATGATATTTCCACTATGTAAATAACAAAAATTATTAAACTTTTGTACAAAGAAATAAAATATGCTACTAAATATAAATACTATACCTCATTCAGAAATTCATTATTTAAACTTGATGAATTATTAAGTGATTTAAGAATAACCTCATAATATGTTTGCCTATTCCATTGTTGTTTATCAAAATTCCAACTAAAAATAGGTCCATCTGACCAGATAGCTTTATTAATTTCACTAAATCCTCCTTTAGCATAATAATCAATACTTGATAAATTATTGTAAGGTATCCACTCTAAAATTTCATAACTATTTTTAGCATTTAGCTGTGCTTCTTGAACAAATTCATCAATAAATTTATTTTTACTAGTCCACTTGAAAAATCTTGTTGAAATTGCTTAGTATTACATTGTTGGCACCATTGGTAATCAGTATTTAGTTGCTTGCATTCATTACAAAATTCATTTTTAGAACTTGTTTTGTTACTTTCTATTGCTATTTGGTACCAATAAAAGGCCCTTTCTAAATTCCTTTTTGTTCCTTCTCCATTTCTATAACATGCAACTAAATTAAAAATTGCATCAATATGACTTTTTTTTGCTGCTTTTTGATACCAATGAAAGGCTTTTTCAAAATTCTTTTCTATTCCTTCTCCATGTTTATAACGCACAGCTAAACTATACATTGCATCAATTTGACCTTTTTCTGCTGCTTTTTGACACCAATAAAAGGCTTTTTCAAAATTCTTTTCTATTCCTTCTCCATGTTTATAATGCACAGCTAAATTATACATTGCATTAATTTGACCTTTTTCTGCTGCTTTTTGACACCAATAAAAGGCTTTTTCTAAACTTTTTTCTGTTCCTTCTCCATTTCTATAACATGTAGATAAATATAACATTGCATTAATATGATCATTTGCTGCTGTTTTTTGATACAAATAAAAGGCCTTTTCTAAATTCTTTTCTGTTCCTTTTCCATTCTTATAACAGTTCGCTAAACTAAACATTGCTTTTTTATCACCATTTTCTGCTAATTTTTCTAAAGAATCAATACATTCTTTACACCAAAGTTCTTCAGTAAAGGGCCTATTGCAATATAAACAATTTTTGGTGTTCATTGTATCAGTATCTTTATCTGGTTATTTTAGAAGTTTGTTTTACTGAAAAAAAAATTTTTTCTAGACAAAATTTTTTAAAACAAATAATATTCATGAATGAATCAAAGTAGAAAAGAATAATTGTTTCGGGCCGTATTTCCCGATGCACTCAATGAACTGATCTTCATTGAGAAATTCCAACTATGGGGTCGTCTAAAACGGGTAGTTTTGTCCAACATTACAATTTGACAACCGTGATGTAGATCAATGCATCAGAAAAGATATATCCCAAAAACGAGTTTACCACACTAAATTGTGTGAGTTGTGTATCTTATATATAAAACAAAATAAAGTTAAATAAAAATAAAATAATTTTTAAGAGAAACTTTGAAAAATATCCTCCGCGTAGCGCCAAAAAGATAGGAAAACTACGAAGTAGAAATAAGTAGATCGGGACCCAGAAATATATATATAGGGGTCAGGTGATGAAGAAAATTTTTTACTATGAGCTGACGCATTATTTCAGGGCCGGAATTATGATAATGTCAGTCGGTTACTATAATGGGAAATAAAATTCTGACTGGAATTATCAAAAATTATCTAAAAAAAGTGATTTTTATATTTCAAAATACGCAAACTCAAACCTGACCCTTTTATATATATTTATGGGTCAAAAATCGCGTCATCAATAGATTTTTAATAAAAAAATTTTTTTCTGCAAGAGATAACTCATGATGATTATTGATTATATGATCATGTGATCATGCGCATGTGCATAATATCAAGATGACGTTTGTACACATACCAAAACCTCCGTTTCATGAAAAAAACGTTGAAACGCGATTTGCATATTATAAATATTATCATTATACAGCGGTATGGTTTTTATTTTATTTTAACCTTTACGATAAGTGTATTAAAATTTTCTGATAATTATAACATTTTTTTTTGTGTCGTGATAATATCACGTGATAGAATATTACATAATGTGTTGTGTTTACGTAATTTTTTTTTTTGGAAAATAAAATATAAAGGTTAACGTTAGGCAGAACGAAAAAAAAAAGTTTTTATCACATAATTATTACATCACGGGACTAGCACTAGCTAATGAGTAATCACGTAATTGGCGTAATCGGCGTAAATAACTTATTGTATAACATGATATCAAATAAATACATCGACTTTTTGACGACTTAATACGTAGAAAAAAAAATGAACCACCAATTTGATGGACTTCTCCTACTAACAATAATTGCGGTGTACCTATAAAATATGAAACTCTCGCCAATAAGTGCAAGTGGTTCTAAAAATCATGAAAGTTTAACTAATGACTTTATAAATTATGAAATTCCTGATAAATTCTCCTTTAATAATCGACAAGTAAATGGTGATAATGGTTCTTGTCAGATTATTTCTGAACCAGATCATACGTTTCTTAAAAGTAATGATTTTGAAAACAAATATTTGGAAATTTCTAATTATATTCTTATTGAATCAAAACAAGGAAGAATACCTCGATGGTACACGTTTCTCAAAGACAAAATCACTCTCCAATCTCTCCAATCCAATACTGGACGCCTCAACATTGATCTAGGCCACAACTTAATTCAAAATTCACGGGTCCAGCGTCCCCGTCCTCCGCCTGTACAATCTGATCATATTACGCACAAAGGAAAAGCGAGTGGTTTGCAACCTGGGCCAACTCTACTTCAGACGCTATATATCAAACTATTAACTTCAACACACTTTGCCAACACTGCTCCCGTTATGTATCTTGAACATTGGATACCGGTTCCTGGAATCAATACTTCTAATAATAACAATCTTACACCTAGATCTCCCAATATCATTTCCCCTATTATATTGGCAACCAAACTCCGAAATGCATCTTCTTGAAAATGACGCATCAAGCAGTTATTCAAGATTCTCCCGTATCGACCGCTTACGTAATGATCTCCAAACCTTACCGAAAAATATTCAAATATTAAATCATCATCACACACATTATAGAATTTTAACATATAATGACTACCTTATTCAACGTAATCTAACACCGTTACCTCAAATACTTCACCACACACCTGTTAACTCACAACTCATAACAGCTCAGAACCACGCTTTGATTAATAGATTGATCAACGAACGTGAAGTAGAGAACAACTTTGCGCAGCTACTAAAATAATTTCAATTCCGTAGAATTAATTCTACATAGATGGTTCGTTTCAAAAGGATATATCCGCCAACGAATTTCACATGGGATACGGTTGGACCACATCGAATCTTTATAATTTCGATGTCACTTATAATTTATAAAGGTGCTATTGAATTCCTCTTCCTCGACAAAAGCCGAAATTATGGCCATTTTAACCGCACTCATGGTCTATACACCCGCTGCTACAGTAATTATACACACTGACTTACAAGCTGCGATAGATGGATATAACAAATCATCTACAGAGTATCTCACCACGACGCTTTAACAAAATTAATAACACATCCTTATGGGCAGCCATACATTTTATAATTAAAACCTTACACTCACCTTCACTTTCGACAAAATCTAAGCTCATTCTGACATTACGTTCAATAATATTACTAACACTTTAGCAAAAACGGGGCGCTTTGAATCCACACCCTCCTCTATCATACACAATTACATACCAACGCAGACGGTTACAGTGATCTGGGATAAGATTGTTATTGGTGACCTTTTTCTTTCACCGTCTGTCCTGGCTTGATCGGAGTCCAGGATAGTTTTTTCTTTTTTTTCTATTTCCAGTAAGGGTCCGCTCCAGAGATTTCATATTGTTGGTTTGGGTAAAGTTTTATAATGGTTTCCGATACTTTTATTCGTGATGTGATTTTCATTGTAATTCTCTTTACTATACATAAAATAAATAAATATAACACTTCAGACGATCCAAATAATTTAAATGATGAAATTATTTATTATAAAATTTTCTTATATAATTTTATATCTTTATCACAATAAAAATTCAATTGATACTAATCTCTCATCTCAACCACAATTAAATTATCATGATCCTGAAATTATATTAATTACGAAATTAATTATAAATATTCATATTTTTCATTACAGAACCTTGTATACAAAAATCATCAGAAATTCAGAATGGAAATTGCTTATTCTTGAAATAGCTATAACTTCAAGATCAAGATAATTAACAGTATTTCAAAGCATTACAAGAAATTTAGGATGGTCAAATTACTTTAAATACTTGGAATTTCTCATATCAAAAAGCCACAACATTTGAACAACAATAAATAGTTTTTTTTTTTCTGGAAGAGACCAAGTCCTCCTAGAGTCCAGATTACCCTTTTTAGGCTTTTTTATTATTTCATTTTCATTTTATTTTATTTTCACTTTCATTTTATTTCATTTTTTTTCGTTTTCATTTTATTTTTTTTTTTCACCCTCATTTTTATTTTTTTCATTTTCATTTTATTCTTTTTATTTTATCTTATTTCTTTTTAACTTTAAGGAATCGGTATAATCAAAATTTTTAAAATTTAATGATAAACATGGATATTAGTTAACCCATTAAATTAGAGTAAATCATCAATATTGCCAATAAGATTATCCAGGGACGAAGTTTCTAGTGTTAAACGTATTTCCAGTTATAATAATAATAAATATTATGTCTAGGGGAATGAAATCCCCCAAAATCACGTAGTTATATAGGTGATCATCATTTTTTTTCCGTATTTCACTCATTTTATTGAAACCTGTCACCATTTCAAGACATTTTGCCGACATGATCGACATAATATTGACGTTCTGTNATCAGAAATTCAGAATGGAAATTGCTTATTCTTGAAATAGCTATAACTTCAAGATCAAGATAATTAACAGTATTTCAAAGCATTACAAGAAATTTAGGATGGTCAAATTACTTTAAATACTTGGAATTTCTCATATCAAAAAGCCACAACATTTGAACAACAATAAATAGTTTTTTTTTTTCTGGAAGAGACCAAGTCCTCCTAGAGTCCAGATTACCCTTTTTAGGCTTTTTTATTATTTCATTTTCATTTTATTTTATTTTCACTTTCATTTTATTTCATTTTTTTTCGTTTTCATTTTATTTTTTTTTTTCACCCTCATTTTTATTTTTTTCATTTTCATTTTATTCTTTTTATTTTATCTTATTTCTTTTTAACTTTAAGGAATCGGTATAATCAAAATTTTTAAAATTTAATGATAAACATGGATATTAGTTAACCCATTAAATTAGAGTAAATCATCAATATTGCCAATAAGATTATCCAGGGACGAAGTTTCTAGTGTTAAACGTATTTCCAGTTATAATAATAATAAATATTATGTCTAGGGGAATGAAATCCCCCAAAATCACGTAGTTATATAGGTGATCATCATTTTTTTTCCGTATTTCACTCATTTTATTGAAACCTGTCACCATTTCAAGACATTTTGCCGACATGATCGACATAATATTGACGTTCTGTATGCTTTTACAATTTAGCACGAAATAATTTGTAAGGAGTGAGGCGCAGCTAATAAATTTTTCGGTGAAATGGTAAGTCGGGTAATTTTACTTCCCGGTGAAATGGAGTAGAAGTAGGTAAATTTTTCATGTCGGTAAAATGAAAGTCAGCAAAATGGCGTCGGTTAAATTTCATGTCAGTAAAATGAATCTATAAATTGTACTGTACATTCATTTTACCATTTGTTTTCTGTATTTTTTAACTATCTTATTTTTTTGCTTTTACAATTTAGCACAAAATAATTTGTAAGGAGTGAGGCGAAGCTAATAAATTTTTCGGTGAAATGGTAAGTCGGGTAATTTTACTTCTCGGTAAAATGACATTTCGGTGAAATGGAGTGGGAGTAGGTAAATTTTCATGTCGGTAAAATGAAAGTCAGCAAAATGGCGTCGGCTAAATTTCATGTCAGTGAAATGAATCTATAAATTGTACTGTGCCCTCATTTTTTCCATTTGTTTTCTGTATTTTTTAACTATTTTATTTTTTTGCTTTTACAATTTAGCACGAAAGAATTTGTAAGGAGTGAGGCGCAGCTAATAAATTTTTCGGTAAAAGGGTAATCTACAACAACTCTATGTTTTGAATGAATAAAGTTAAATTGACGTTGTTGATGATTAAAAGGATTTTTAAAAAGAGTAATAAAAAAAGAAGAGATTGGATACGCTAAATCACCTAACACATATATAATCATCTCCTTCAATATATTTTGCTTTATTAAGAAAAAATCTGAATTAGCATAGACTATTGCATCATGCACTGACCCTGGCCATCCTATTATATAATTAATAAAAATTCCTTTAATATCAACGATTCCTTGACAATGAATTGCATATCTTTTTTATTCTTGTAAAAAATGCTGTTTGATCTTGTGCAGGTGCCTCATTTAAAATAAAATGAGTCCCATTATCCCATCTATTGCTCCAATAACATTCTGAAACCCCAATAGCTTGAAAAAATCCTGCATGAATAATAGCACGATTATTATTCTTAGGCCATTGAACAAACTCCAATTTTTTAAGAATTACAGTACCTTTAAATATTCCAAATCAAGAACAAATACTTAAAATATCATCTTTAGAACCTAAAAACCTAAGAAATATTACTAATTGAAATTCAACTGGTGCCTGTGGCTTATTTCCTTTGTTTTGAAAACTGTATCATTCCGTAATAATTGCACTAGCTTGTTAAATTGTTGTTTTTCCATTCGTAAAACTTTTTTAAACAATATATCATCATATAATGGTAAGATTTCATGATACCAATGTTGAGACTTAGGAACATGGTTTCGTGAGAACAAGATAATGTAAAGAGGATAAGCAAGAAGTATTTCTTCTTATTATTATTATCTAATTCATCATCATTAAAAGAGTCAAAAGAGTCATTTAAATCCTGTGTTGTTAATAACATTAAAGCATATTCAATATCCTTTATAGACATAATTATAAAAAGAAAAATATTGGGACAGAATGGAATAGATAATCACGTGGATTTTTCTGCTCAATTTACGCTGTTTTTTGATTGGTCAAAAAAAATTCTGTGAAAATCGGATCAAATCGGAATGGAACAGGGCTAGTGATTGTGCGGTATAAGAAATCCACGCTACATTTTTTTATGTTAAAATTAAAAATAAAAAGAGATATTTTTTATTTTTTTTTGTTTTATTTTTTTTTTATGGGTGAATTTATTCCTCACCCCGGGTGAGATTTAATATTCTTCACCCCTAAAAATTTTTTTATTTTTTGTTATGTATTTATATGCGTTTTATAATATATTATATATAAAAAAAAAATAAAGTTATATTTATTGTATGCCAAATATATACATATCGTTGATCAATCTTTATTGTTTGATTTCGCCAAATAAACGTAACAATTGAATTGTATCGCACTACTACTAAACAAAATACAAAATAATCTTCGCTATAAACATGTGATTATGTAAAGTTCATTATTGTTTTGAACAAGTATTACGATAATGACCGTTTTCTCCACATAAACCACACTTACGACCTTTATCACCAGAAATTGCTTGTTCACTCCCATTTTTGACTTTATTTGAACCTGATTTTTCAAAAGATGATTTTAACCGCTTCGTTGCGGGTCTACCCTTTGGTTGATGCTTTAACGGATCCATTATTTGATTAGAATCAACCAATACTCCCCTTGTATTATGAAAAACTCGATTATCATTTGCAATCATTTTTCTTCTTGCTAAATCTTCTTGTTGTCTAATTGATTCCGCTTGAATTAATTGAGCTTCCCTTCTTTTGTTATATTCTCTTATAAACTGAATTAGTTCTTCATCATCATCTTGAATCGCAAATTGAATTGCCTTTTTGGCTTCACCCATTAAAGTACCAAATTTCAATTGTTTTTGTGATATTTGCCTGGAATAGCTCTCTGAAAGATCATTTACAGTATATTTTCGCGTAAATTCTAAAGTGATTTGTGTATTATTTTGATCATTTTGGCAACTATTCATTATTATTTCACTAGAAGAGATATCACTTGAAGTGATATATTCATCTTTATACCAACGCTTGGGAATCAACACCAAATGAAAATATGCTTTAGGAGTTTCAACAAACACTTTAAAAAAATGTCTGCATATAATACCATGCGTTACAAGCATGAAACAAGTGCATAAATATTCTCCGGTATTAAGCAAAATCACATGTTGATAACACTTCGGAAAATTATACCGAGAGACCTTCCAAATTTCTAAAATATCGTCTGAGTTAACCATTGAAATCAAGGATTTTAAGTCAAGTTCCCGATCCTCATCAGCTTCAATAGGTGTTTCAATAGAATCATCTACTTCTTTATCAAAAAAAGGTTCAAATGAATCGTCATCTGATGCTGAAATTTCGGAAAATGGTACTTGATGTGTACGATAACATACAGATTGGCACATCTGCTTATAATGTGCATCATGAATTGGTTGAGTGAGATACTTTTTCATGGTAATATCAATGTCTTTAAAAAACGTTTGAATAACAAAGGGTTGTGTATACTGTAATGTTGAGGATTTCCAAATTGAATAACGATTGTTAATCAACTCAAATTCTAGCCGATTTTCAATTGATTCTTGAACTTGTGAAAGAAAAAAACTTGACTGTACAGCCTTCTGTATCAACGCATTTTCTGATTCTACGCGTTGTGTGGATTGTGTTCCCGCTGTGAAATGCCTTGATGTAAAACACTTTACCCACGTATGTTTTCTATTTAGTAGCATTGTAGTTATATATTTTTTCCCTGCTTCATATTTTTCAACTATACCTGCAGACCGGCGTTCAAATACACTTTCACAATGAGAACGTTGGATTGCCCTAAAATCTTTGAGAAACTCTTGATAAAGAGGTGATCCTAAGCATGAACGAAGATTTTTTGGAAGATTTTGGTAAAGATGGTATAAACATTGCATATGATGAGTTTCTGGAAATACTGTAGAAATGGCTGCAATCATGGCAGGATCGGCATCAGTAACAAATGTCAATGGAGGAATTTCACATGCTTCAAGACAACATCGAAGCAACCATTCATAAGATTCTTGTTTTTCATCTTGTATAAAGGCTTGGGCCGCCAACCTGCTCTTGTTATAATTATCAATTAAAATAAAGAGACTTAATGGGTAGTTATACTTGTTAGTTCGTGCAGTATTGTCATGGATAATAATGTCATAAAATTTAGACCATCTTTCACGTTGTTCTGGTGACATCCAGAAAATACCAATTAGCCGGTTACTTGTATCATCTATTAACGGCTTTACAAACCATGCAGGATCATCTGCTTGCAATTCAAGAAGTCTCATTAATAAAGATGCTGCATCTCCTAAATTATTAAGGCCTTTTTCTTGTTTGATCTTTTGAATTGCATTTCCCAAGTCTTGGGTAAGAAATACACGATCAGGATACTTTGGTTGAAGAAGATTCCTAATTGTTCCTGCATCACATCGGCCATGCACAACATAAAATTCTATCTGTTCCATAATTTCTTCAGTAAAATTTTTGTAACAAGTGGAGAATTTTATGGTATCGGTGAGAATCTCATGATTGTGTTCGTTATTAAATAACGTTACAGTTACTATGGGTGAATTTATTCGTCTATTAACATTCATTTGCCACATACAGCCCTGTTTTTTGGTTCCTTTACTTTTTTCTTTACCTAATGTTGGCCTTAAAAGCTTCTCAGTATACCTTCCTCCTAAATCACACTTAAATACCCTTTTTCTACAAGTACCATCCGGAAATTTTTCACTTTTATGCTTAAAGACAGCAAAATTATTCTGAAGAGCGTACTGTTCTATAAAATGTACTGCAATTTCCATGGAATGAAACCTTGTTCCATTCTCAATCTCGATTAGAGTATTAATTAACGGAAAGCCACCAACATAATCTTTAAGTTCGGCACCTAATACACTTTTAACAACATATTCCTCACTATTATCATCATGATTGGTGGGTTCTGTAAAAGGTGAAACCTCATATAACATGATTAACCAAGCACAAAAAGCAAAGAACATGCAAGAGCAAATACTATTACGGTGCGTATTATGTAGCATGCATGTGAAAAACGCGTGACTGTGGCTTATAATTTATACTGTTTATTTTATAATACAAACGCGTAGGTTCCAATCAAATTTATTATAGTTTATTACACAAGCACGTGAATAAATACTAATAATATATAGGGGGTGAGTAATCACCCGGGTGAGGAATAAATTTTCTCTTTTTTTATTTATATTTTTTTTTGTAAATTTCAAATTTCATTTAAACATATTTCTTTTGGACACAATCCTAAAAATCATAAACCCGAAACCACATTATCCCTGACACTTATTATCCTTTTTTAAGATTTTTTTTTAAAAATTTAGTAATGAGATAACATTAAACATTTTTAATTAATTTGATAATGATCAACAAATGATCGGAAAATTTCGATAAATACCCGTTGCAAATGAGTTTGTTTAAATAGAAAAATTTAGTATTATAATGTAATACTAAGTAAATTAAAGATGGTTATAGTAGTTTTTTTGTTTCCATTTAATAAAGTGAATATTTTTAAAAATTATTTATCTATATTATTAATATCATATTTCATTAAATTATCCGGTTTTTAATATCAGGTGACTCGGTTAGGTTGACTCGTACTGTTTTTTTTTATTAAACAAATAAAAATCTTTTTTTTTTTTAATAAAAACGAAAAACAACTGATTTTTTTTACTAAATTATAAAAAAATCAGTTTCTTTCTTTTCATTTTAATAATCGTTCTTTTTTTTTATTAAAAAAATACTAAATTTTTTTATAAACTAATTACGGAAATATGGTTACTCACGGAAGCTAAATATTTATTGTAGAAAAAAATATGTAACGTAATTTTAATTAAACAAATATAATTTTATATACTTAAGCCAAATATAAATTTGGTTCTTAATAGAGAATTGTTTGTAAAAAAGTTTGATCCTGTAGATAAAGGAGGTTTAGTTTTCTATGAAAATTATTTGCAAAATGATATCGAAAATTATCCGATTTTTTTGATTTTCTTTATTACTAAATAAGTCATACATTTTGTTAATTTATTTCATTTATTCAAAAGATTATAATCCATTTCTTAAACGAAATAATACTTTAATGGCAATAGTAAACATTATATGACTTGAAGAGATATGCAATGGTCATCCGCCATTAAAAAAATCCGGCGCTGAGGCGTTGGGTCCACAAAGCGCTTGAATTTTAAATATTTCTCGCGATTATCCATTAAAGCTAGAGAAAATTTCAAATATAAAAGATCTTAAGTTTTCGACCTTCTTACTTTTATTTGTAATCGAAAGAGCTATTTTAAACAACATATAAAAAATTGACTCAGATATTTATTCTCTTTTTATTAAATTTTTCATTATTAAATAGTTATTGGATACTAGATATCGGTCGAACACTGGTCGAACACAATACTGCGGTGACCAATAGGAATTAATGCTACTAATAACGATTTAATATAATCCCGCATATTCCTAATCGACTGAACAACAACAAAATATTATTAAATTTCCTACCCAAGTTGAAAATATTATAAACCATTTTTTTAATGTTTCTTAATTTATTAAAATTTTAATTCTAGTAAATATGATATGACAGAATTTAGCAATAGCTAAATTTTAATATGCCTACATTTCATTACTATTTGATATTCGAATGATAAACATTTGTTTGTCAAAGTTAACCTTTATTATTACGATCGTACAAGTTTAGGTGTTATGCATAAATGTATATGATATACATGCATAAACTTTATTTTTACTAGTATCTACTCTTAGCGCTCTAGTATGTTCGTGGAGAACGAGGCATATTTACTCAAGTATGAAGAATAAGACTAATTAAAAATTGTAATATAATTAAGAAAAATCGTTATTATTAGTTTATAATAAAAAAAAAATCACACTGGTCCTATCAAATTCACAATAACTGCGCAATTCCTAAAAATAATTTAAAAAATCAAAATTAATATTTAATATTTTACCGCTAAACTATTTTGGTATATTTACGTAGTAATAGTCGTACGAAAAGAAGTAAAGAAGCCCGCGTCCTTTTTCATGATACATTATTAAGTAATATATTTATAATCCATTTTATTATTTTATTGAAAGAAAAAAATAGATTATATAATTAAATGCAATGAAAAATACAAAGACTACTTGCGATTGATTAAGCATCATATGATTTGAAGCGTAATACTTTCTTAACCACTGTTTAAATAACACGTACATACTAGGACAAATTAGGAAATAAAGGCACATATGACTTGTACTATCAATAAACATTTGTAATTAATGCTTTTGTTGAAGATCCTTTAAAAAAGGGGAACTTTCTCCGATTTGATAATCTTGATTTAATCATCTGACTGACTGGTTTTTGTCTCTTAATTTAGTATAAAAAAATTTTTATTGTTTTGTTTCCAACTTTGTTACTTTTTTTTTCTTTCTCTTAAAAAAAATGTATATATGATTTTCATTATCATTACCTATCAAATATATCAAATATGTAAATATTTACGTTTAAAAAAAAAAGTTCTACCAAGTCGTTTCATATTAAAGTTTTTAGTATGATCGACAAAAGTAGTAAATAGATTAGAGATAACGTTCATTTATGAAATTAATTATATAAACCTCACTTTTATCAAAAAATGTTAATTTTTGGCATGACCCTTTTATCCTATTTTAAATTATATTATTGAAATATTAATGAAAACACTCGTTCGTCCTTCATATAGTAAGGATTTTTTAGACCGCGGGACATTAAACGGGGGATATTTTCACAATATTGGAAATATTAATAATATCCAACGACACGATGATAGATATTCGATTAAGGCTGAAAGCTTAGATATGGGCGTTTATTTACAAGAAGATACTTTTGTCTCTGAAATTAAATATACTAAATTAGTTTATTTCATCATTGATTATCAAAAACGTAATATAAAGGTAGAATTTGATGTTCATGGTAAATTATATTCATTAGAAAATGAATTCAATAATATTGAAGGTGAAATTTATGTTGAACAACAAAGACCTTATTGGTCTATTACCATCGCAAACAAATTTCCGCCAAGGTATTCAATACGTGATGATAACAAACGTTCTTTTAAACGAATGACGAGAATACAAAGTTTAAGAAAAAGTAATGAACCACTTCAACCACATATGTCTGATAATAGTGAACAATTAGGCAAATGGGTAGTTTTTAGAATATCCTTTAACAATCAAGCTAATAATCAATTTTATCGTTTTATAAATATGATTGATAAAGCTAGAGATTATTCATTAGTATCTAAATTTAATAAACCATTAAAAATAGTAGCTGGGTCAACTTTAAACAAATATGTGAACCGTTCAAATTTAGATTTTGACATCCTATATATGATCGAATGTAACCTTTCTTTTAATTACATTCACGATTATAATTTAAATGAAGATTTTTTTTCCTTTTTATCCGTTCAACCAAAAGACGCTGTAATTTATGTTTTGGAAAAAATATTTGAAGAGAAAAATCGTATATACGATCCTTTATTATATTTACGTTCAGAGATCAAGAAACGTATTAATGTTTCTGTCAAATTTAATGAAGTACCTAATCATTGTGCAATGATGCGTAAGGTAGTAGTAACTCCTACTACTATGTATATGTTACCTCCAACTATGGAAACTTCTAATCGAGTGATTCGTAATTATGAATATAAAAAAGATAATTTCTTACGAGTACATTTTTCTGATGAAGCATCAAATCCAATCGGTTCATCAAGTGGAAATTTTAATGATACTTTTAATGATGCTTTATATAATAGGATTTATTATACATTAAATAATGGTATTAAAATTGGAAATGTACATTATGAATTTTTGGCCTTTTCTTCAAGTCAATTGAGAGATCATTCTTGTTGGTTTTTCGCATCAACTGAGGATTTAACCGCAAATAATATAAGAAAGTGGATGGGTGATTTCTCGGATATCAAAACTGTTGCAAAATATGCTGCACGTATGGGTCAATGTTTTTCAAGTACTAGAGTGATTCAATATGTTCCAGTTAGTGATATTAAAGAAATTCCCGATATAATTAGAAATGGGTATACATTTTCTGATGGTATAGGAAAAATATCTTTTTCATTAGCAGAAGTAATTGCAAAAGAATTAGATTTAAAAAGAATTCCAAGTGCTTTTCAATTTAGAATGGCGGGATATAAAGGAGTTTTATGTCAATCACGTTATTTGAGAGCAAATCAAGTTCAAGTTCGTCCAAGTCAACATAAATTTAAATCAAATCATAATATATTGGAAATTGTTAGATGTTCATCTTACCTTCCATCTTATCTTAATAGGCAAGCCATTACATTATTATCAGCATTAGGAATACCAGATGATGTATTCATTCGAATGAAGGATCAACAAGTCAGTGAATTGAGTAGAATTTTTGAAAGTGATCTTTTAGCGTTAAATGTTTTACAACAAAATATTGATGAATATGAAACTTCACAATCACTTATAGAATTAGTAAAAGCTGGATTCCTACAATCAAAAGATCCTTACTTAATTAATTTAATTTCTTTATTTCGTATCAAGATGTTACAAGATCTTAAAAAGAAAGCAAAAATTCGTGTGGGTAGAGGAGCATTTTTAATGGGTGTATTAGATGAAACGAAAACTTTAAAAGATAATGAAGTGTATTGTTGTATATCTGATCCTTGTAATCCATCTAAAAGAAAAGTAATTACTGGAACTTGTATTGTATACCGTAACCCTTGTTTTCATCCTGGAGACATACGAATCGTTAAAGCTGTATATTGTAATACTTTGAGCAATCTGATGGATGTATTGGTATTTCCTTCAGTTGGATATCGTGATATTCCAAATCAATGTAGTGGTGGTGATCTAGACGGTGATGATTTTACGTATGTACAATAATTAAACTATGTTAAATTTATATTAATTATTAAAAACAAAATCTAACTATTCCTCTTTTTAGAATAATTTATGACGAACATCTAATCCCAAGTGAAGCGCATGAACCCATGAATTATAAATCTAAAAAACCAAAACCGGTCGATCATGTAACTATGGAAAGCATTAAAGCATTTTTTGTAAATTATGTATTTTCTGATCAACTTGGTAAGATCGCCAATGCTCATTTGGCAAAAGCGGATTCTTTTCCAAATGGCGCACTCCATGGACAATGTAAAGCTCTCGCTCATTTACACTCGGATGCTGTAGATTTTCCAAAAACGGGAATACCGGCAATAGTTCCACAGGAACTTCGTGTAGAACGCTTTCCAGATTTTATGGAAAAACATGATAAACTAAGTTACGAATCTGAAAAAGTTCTGGGTATTTTATATCGTTCTATTAAAGTAGTAGACTATGAACGATATACTAGTTTGAATTTCGATAAAAGGTTATTATATGTTGAAGGATATGAAAAATATTTAAATAATGCATTAAGACTTAAACGTGCATATGATGCAGAGATAAAAGGGGTCATGAATCAATTTGGAATTATGACCGAATTTGAAGTAGTTAGTGGATACATTATTAATACAATTACCAAAATTGATAAGAAAAAACCAAGAAATGTAATAAAATCTGTAATGGATACAATAATTCCAATTAGAAAAAGTTACCGAAAAAAATTTGAGGAAGAGTTTTATGAAGAAGGAACTAAAATTATTCCATCAACAGCTTCTGATCAAATGAAATCAAAAGCCGTTGCTTGGTACTGTGTAACGTATGGATTGAAGGATGAAGATATGATATCTTTTCCTTGGATTGTGTACGACATTTTATGTGAAATTGTTAAAAATAGTAAGATTAAATGATTATTCAACCTAATTTTTTTTTAGGTCAAATTATTATATTTTATATATTCATATTTAAGGTTATTATTATTGATATTTATTCATTTTATTATTTTAGTATGTATGTTATTGTAACAAATTAAGTAAATTATAATTTGTGCCATGTCGCCATTGCGCTGGTATTAAATTTGGTGTTAGTTTAGGATGGTTATTATTAGAATTTTGGATGTTTTACTATTGAATGTCACACCATTATATCATACCAGCGCTGTGGCGCCATGGCATTAAATTATAAAATTCATTAAATAAATATATTATTTTTTTATGATTATTATTTTATTTATTGTGCGTTTTTTTTTTAAAAAAAAAAATTATCTGATTATAATTTTATAAGATAAAAACAGGTAATCTAAAAATTGTATTTAACTATTTACTATTTTAATTTATTTAGCCTCGCTCTTGTTAACCATTTAAAAAATTTTATTAATAATCGTAAAATATTATCCAAGAAAAGTAATTTAATTAAGCCGAAAATTGCATGATTTATTCAGGATAATTTCTTAACGAGACTTCCGGGAAATGTTAGCACGTGATTCTCATTCACGCGAATCAAAATTCTTAGAAATTTCAAACATATTATATATTGAAGGATATTTTTTAGTAATTTAAGGGAGAAAAAATTTTTTTTCAAAAGTTCCCGAAGAATTCTCACGCAACATGTAGAAAAATTCTAGCATATCATAAATAAAAATTAATTTTTTTTATGTAAAGTTCATAATTTAAGTAAGAATTCTCATTGCATCTGTCTGTTTGCATCATATTTAAATTTTACTTACAAATCTTCATCTCTAGGAATCATGAGAAAATTAAAATGCGATTATAAATATATCTTGAATTCGGAGTTTTCCTAGCCCTCTTAATTTCATCAAGGACAAAAATGTACAAATCAAATTTTTCTATAAACATTACGGTTATTAAAACAAGATGTCTCTAATTAGCAATAATTGGATGGATTCTGTTAGTAGAATCTTCGATGATCTTATTAAAGATTTGAACGTCGCTAAACGTGGCAACACTCGCACTCGCCGCTTTCCTGCGTTGGAAGTTCATGAAACTGAGAAAGAATATATAGTCTATGCAGAATTGCAGTATATAATTGATTTTTTTTCATTATATTTACGTATTCTTTGAATCAAATAATGAAACATTATTATTTTATAGGGATTTAGTAAGGATCAAATTAACGCTGATGTTCGTGACAACGTTCTTGTCATCTCCGGTGAATTCAAGAATGACCAAAAATTTCAAGACGGAAAACTCTTGTCAAAGAACGTCGTTATGACAACTTTCCTCGTAGTATTTCGATACCTCCAAATATAAAAACTGAAGAGGTTACGGCCAAATTTGAAAATGGTGTTTTACGAAATGAGACTTCCCAAGTCAGCCCCGCAAGAAAATCGATATCAAATAAAAAGACAGCACTAGTAGCAATAGTCTTTGTAAATTTCAATGTTTTAAACAATAATATAATTGTTATAAATAATAAATCATTATTTTTTCCATCAACAAATGGAAGTTATAAAAACTAAAATATGTAATGTGAGCGCCAAATATTTTTATTCTGTTAATTTAATTAATTTAACACCTAATACGCTGTTTACGTTTCTAGTAAATATGTAAACAAAATTGAAGAACATTAACTTATTAAAGTTTTTGAGACAATGTGATTATTAATAATACGTAATTCGCGTCAATAATTTCGAAATTTTTTTACCGAAAATTTAATTTTTAAATCTTGAGGCTCAAGGTCTAACCGTCTTGAAAAAATATTTCTAAAATTTTATTATTAACTACAGGGCTAACTTACATGATTATGATCTGATTATACTGCTAATTCTGGCCAATTATAAGCAAACTCTGGGCAAAATCTAGCATATTTCTAGCTATACTTTTCCCAACTTTCTGTATAAAACCGGTTGATGGAAAAGGCGATATAATAAATATAAAATTTTCAATTTTTTATTTCAAAATTTATAGAGGTTGGAACTAAGGGGATGGCCAGAAATAATTTAAATTTTAGGATTTTTGTCTTTTTGACCCCCCTCCCTATGTCATAATTCATTTTAGGAAATGTAAAATTAAAACATAATTCTGGCTAGAATTATGTTAATTACAAGTGTCTAAAAATGGAAGATGTGTAACATCATCATGGTCTTAACCTTAGGAAATGACGTCATTTCTGGCCATCCCCTAACCGATTAACAATCGATTAACCAGCTACCGTGATCAAATAATAATAATCAGTTAATTTTTGCAAATGTACGAATTTAAATAATAGAGGGGACAATTGAATCACGTGTGCTAACGATCAATTTATTAATTGCAGCAAGATATTCTGAGTAAAAGATGCAAAAAACATATAATAATCAGTAAAGTCTATTTAATTTAAGCCGTTTAGTAAATAGGTGGGTAAATAAAGTTAATACTAAAATATTAACAAATTAGAATACAATAATTAAAGTTGATATACAATATAATGTAGAGTGAACAATAATTAAGGGTGCACTACGTGATCTATTGTCCCTCTATTATTAATTTTTAAATGTATTTCATAAATTCGTACATTTGCTAAAATTAATATCATAACAAGAGGTCATTTTCATGGGGGAGCTTGACATGCTTTTAAAAGATCTTTTAAGTGAATGTTATTGTAAAAAAAAATGACTTTTAATTTATAAATATACAAATTGTTGATCTCTCCTTTATAAATAAGCTTTGTTAAAACTAGGAAACGGGGAACCGTTGTAAGTCCGGAGCGAGGTATCATAATAATAATAAATAATAAATAATAATAAAGATGTTAACATATATCAAGAATGGTAGCGATTTCCTACTAATTAGCAGCATAACGCCTTGGAATTCCGTGACACGTGATCGATCATTTTTCATAGTGCGTAGACATATATAGTCCTTCGCATTCGCTCTAGACAATAAATAAATTTTTTAAATTTAGCTTTTTCTTAAATAAAATGAATAAACAAATGATTTTTTCTATTTATAATGAGTAAATTTAATATAGAGAAATGGCAGATTTCGGTTTATTATAAGTTAAATAGTAAAATAGTAAAAATTTAAGAGAATTGCTAAATGTGTCCTGGGTAATTGTCGCCTGGAGGTTTTTTTCCAAGTATGTCACATGATGTACAATATATAGAGTAAATTTATTAATCGGCTGACAGCTGATTTTTTTAATTTAGCTAATTTTTGATCGGCTAAACTTAAAATTTTATTGCAAAAGATATTTTAAAAAAACAATTTGCAAACATATTTATTCAAAATAATCTTATCTAATGAAATTTTATTTGCAAATATTAAAATTTTAGTCACACATTTACGATTTTAAAGAAAAAAATTACCGTATTTTTAATGAAGTGATACAAATAAAAGAAACAATAGCAATAAATAAAAAGATAAGTAAATTACAATGATCAAGAAGAAAGATGCTAATAAAAAATGAAATAACAATGAAGTAATGGAAAGTAATAGAAGATGAAAGGGAGTAAAAGACGAGTAGTGAGAAGTGATAGGAAACAAAAAGGAGAAATATGGCATGATGGTAGATGAAGAGGAGTGTTGGGGAGGGAGACGAAAAGGAATGATAGGAGACGAAAAGGAGTGATAGGAGACGAAAAAGAGTGATGGGAGATGAAAAGGAGTGACGGAAAGATGAAGAGGAGTGATGGGAGACGAAAAGAAGTGATGGAAAGATGAAGAGGAGTGATGGGAGACGAAAGGGAGCGATGAGAGACAAAAAGAATTCGGCCGATCATTTATCCAATCCTAGTAAAATTTTACTTATTTCTAATTAGCCAGGAGATAAGTAATACTTACATATTCTCTTTTCTCATTTAAATTCTTTTTATCATAAGATTAAATATGAATATTATCATCCATTTCTATCAACTTGGTGACTTGGACTATAATAAATGTTCTTAAATAAAGATAAACATTAAACTATCCATACCTAAACTTTTTTTTTCCGTAAAAATCAGCTTAAAGGTTTTTTGTACTTCTATATAATTAAAATTGTTAAGAAGATTAGTTTTCACTCCAAGGATGTTTAATTTTTTTTTGTGAGATTGGGATTGGCTCTGAATTATATATGGACTCTTGTTAGTAGTGTGCATCTTGCTCTTGACCTTAGATACAAATACCTTTAGTATAACTGTCCCTTTAACCTTTGATGTATCCTACCATTGATTTTTGAGTGTATTCTATTTTAAGCTTTGAGCATTTTTTCTTAATCTCACTCTTAAATTGATTGCATTTCTTTATTAATTCTTTTATTGTTATTTGGTAAAAAAGTATTACGTTAAAAATTGTAAATCACATGTATTACTATTTACATTAGTATAGCAGATTGTTTATTTAATTATTTAAATACTGTATCATGTGCGTGATATACGTGATATACATTAATTCATCATTTTTACTAAGAATTCAATTAATATCATCATCTCACCCCTATGAAAAAAAATCATCCAATTTTTGTACAATATTTGTTCAAGTCCGTGTGGAAATTGTACAATTATTGCAGATTTTTGGATAAAAATAGCTATGAAGTTTTTCAAAGCATATTAAAAGATATAGAAAATGTTCAATTTTTGTGTGATTTTTATACAACTTAAATTTAGGATACAGAAAGCAATTTTTGGGTAATCCTACTATACTACTTTCCATCTTACCTGTATGGTTACATTTGACCACTTTTAGGGTCAAATAGACCACTTTTAACCATTACAAATAGATTTTCCTAAGTAAAGTGATTTATGCAGTAAGGTTACATAAAATTCAACTGCATATTTGCTTATAAATGGGCATCTTCTGGACCCATTGGTGAAATTTTTGTATCATCTTGTAACTAAAAAAAAGTCAAAAACTTTTTATTAGGTTACACAATTAGTTCTGACCGGAATTATAATTTGGCCAGAATTATGCGGTAAAAATCAACTCTTAAAATTATATATGTTGATCACGTGATCTGATCGTCAAAATAAATATGACGACGCGAAATGTTTTTGTTTATGTTTTTTTAACCTTTTAACTTTTCTTCAACTTTCTTTTAAAATATCAGGTAAGAAAAACTTGTGTTCTTTATCTTTTTATTTTCCTAACTTTTTACATTTTAATGTTACTAACTTGCTTTCTTCACTAACTTCATACTTTTTTTTATTACTAATACTAATAATTTACTTTTTAACACTACTAATTTGCTTTCTTCACTAACTTCATACTTTTTTATTACTAACACTAATAATTTAGTACTTTTTAACACTACTAATTTGCTTTCTTCACTAACTTCATACTTTTTTATTTAATACTAATAATTTACTTACACTAATAATTTACTTTCTTCTTTGATAATACTAATTTACTTTCATGTTACTAACATACTTTATTTATTTTATTTTCTTACAAATTTTTATATTTATGATTATATCAAATTTAGTATTTTATTTATGAAATATTGTGTATATTTTTTATATTTTAAGTCAATAAAAAAAATTCATAATTTCACTTTATAAATTGCCTGTTATTACTGTAAAATTTAACCTATAATTCCTAAAATATGGCCTAAAAAAATTTGGCTCAAAAATCACACAATAATTGTATAAATTCAGGTCAAAAATAGGATAATTATTGAATGAATTACCATGCAATAATTGTGTGATTTATTGCAATTTTTAGCACAATTATTGTATGGTCAAATTTACTGAAATTGTAGTTAATTTAATTGAATGATTTTTCAACAAAAATCACACAGACTTTTTTCATAGGGCACGATTTACAAATCTTAATAGAAATAGTGATACTAAATTAGTTTATGCTGGAACAGCCCCAGTGCGAAGCAGCAAGTGATTGAAAATTTATTATTTCAATATTTACAAAATATTTGGCATTTTCTTTAATAGGATTATTAACTGAAATGAAAGTAGAGTATGACTCATATGGTCATCAGGTACACTAAACCTGTTCGAAGTAACATACAGGTAGTATTGCAGAATAGCCATACGGATAAAGGGTCAGTTATATGCTTAATATTTACCTTCAATATTAGCAATGAAGTGATTCCTTATATAATGAGTTTTGAAAAACAAATTTAATAAATTTAACGATAAATCCAATACTACATTTTTTTAAAAATTACGTGAAAATTACTCAGCTGAGATCCTTTTAATGGAAGATGGAAGAGAAGATCCTATTTTCTAGAACATAAGTTTGGTTGGAATTCTGAACCAGAAGAATGACCATCCATTTGTTTGAATTGATAATAGATAAAATATGCAATTCGTTTATGTGATGATTTATAACCGCAAATATTCAAATTCACATAGACTAATAAGAAAATGAGATATATACTGTATATACAGCATATATAATTATCAGGTTAATTACCTAGTTTTTTTTTAATTAATGTACAGTACAAAAAGATTCTTATATGCTGAAATCAGGGTGGAAATTTTATTATGTTCTTTAATACCTTTTTTTTTTTTAAAAAAAAAAAAACCGTAACGCATCTCTTTATTAAGAATAGATATCCTATAACGAAATACCTAGAACCGCACATGCAAACACGATACGGCTATTACACGTAAAAAAGGATACCAATAATAAATAAAAACAAAATTGTATTCAACACAAATTTTTTAGATTAGATATTACTAACTTTATTTTGTAGGGTATAGGGAAGAAGGGTGGAATACACCTAAGTGCGAGTTGATGGACTCGTCTAATTAGTTAGCGTTAGACTTAGAGTTATTTCTATTTCTTTTTTTTCCCTACATAAATTAGGTTAATTTAGTTAGGTTTCATCAAAATTAAATAGTGTATGGTCTTTCAGGTATAGTATTTATGGGATAAATTATTAGTAACGTATCATTTTGTTCGATTACTCTGTTATAGGGTTGTCACGTGATTTGCATGGTCGGCTCTAAGTATCTTGTCACTTGGGATACAAATCCTAATAAAGATGCGTTACAGTTTCCCAGTAGATAGTTTTTGTATAAATTTGTACCAAATGGGCTCATCCATATATAATTGGCTCTATATTGGCTTAAATTTGGATTATTTTTTGCATAAATTTGAGCTAATTTCGAGCCAATGAGCCCGTTTGGTATAAATTTATACAAAAACTATTTACTGGGTTTAAAAAAAAAAAAACAAACAAACAAACAAACAAACACGATACGGCTCTATAACAGAGTGCAATCTATCCTAAAACAAATAAAACTAAACTGCACCTAACTAAAATACTATCTACTAGTGATTACTATGCAGGGAAAAAAAACGCGAGAGAAAATTTGTTATAAAACTGAAAATTCAGACGGAGCCCAACAGCCCCACGTCCATTAGCAATTATCCCAACTTCTTCCCCCATCAAGTTTATCCCTATAAAAAAAAAGAAAAAATTAGTTATAGTATGCTAACCCTATCTAGATTCTATAATATTATTTCGTTTGCATCTAAAAAATTTTTTATCGGTAAATTTTTTAACGTGAAATCACGTGACTTCGATTTTAAGATGCAAAAATCCGTCATTTAATATCCGTCCTCGCCTCAATTTATCCTTGCTTCTTCACTTTCTTTGTTACTTCTTCCTTCTTCACTTCTCTCTTCTGTGGTGACTCCAAGATTGGTCGTTTCTCTCCGATTTCTTTTTCGCCTGTCTTGCGATTTTCGTCCTTTAGTCTTTTTTTGAAATCATCATTAAGTGTGGTGTGTTCTTTAATACTTATTGTTTCTTTACTTCTATTGTTATTATAATTATATACTTACATTATATTTTCAATTTACTAGAAAAAATTTTTTGTTAGTTCAACATCTTTTGTTTTATTATTATTAGTTGTTACTTGATACATTATTTGTTTTATCCCTATTTCTAGAAAAAGTCTAATAAATAATTATTTTTATGGGTATTATTCCAAAAAACTTGTATATATGATCAACTAGTAATAAAAATTTTTATTGGATACAAATTAAAAAATCAATTATCAAATGTGAGGTATTAAGATTGTTAAGAAGATTATTTACAAGACAAAGATAACCTTCTGAATTGAATGGACAAATGTAAAATTAATTGCTTTTTTGTCACTTAGATATGCTGGATATTTTCCATATACATCTTTTGAAAAAAAGAAATTCATGATAAACTCGTAAATGACTACTGAAATAATTTTACAAATGCTGTAAACAAAAAAGTTCTAAAAAATATTTTACGATTTGACTATTGGACTGCCTGTTAGTGCCTATTATAAAGTTAAAATAATTATGTATAATTATATATAATGTAGTCTTAATAATATAATTTCTTAAATGTATAAATGATATTTTTTTTAATTAATATTAAGAATAAAATTAACAATATAAATAAAATACAATTAGCCATTGAAGTGAATATAAAAAATTTTACATTATTTATTTTAATTTTTTATTTTGATAATTTATACTTAACATTTGGAAAAGTTAAAAAAAAAAGATTTATTTAAATTACAAACTAAGAAATTTGTAAAGTATTTACTACTCTAGTCTTAATGTTTAAATAATTCTAAAAAAAGAGAATACATATGAATAAAATATAAAAAAAACGGAATTATTTAAATTACAAACTAAGAATATTGTAAAATATTTTACTAGTACTCTAGCCTTGGTGTTTAAATAAATCTAAACAACAATTTCTGTTAAATGCATGATATCAAATATCACATAAAAAAACTATAAATTCTTATAAAAACACGATTATTTTTTATCTGTTTTAAATAATTAAATAAATAAAATTAATTTCACATAAATAATTTGCAAAATTAATTCTTTTTATATACTATATTACATACCTAATGACTTCAAATTAACTATACAATCATCCAAATCTTTACTTACTAGCATTTCATTCACTTTTACACTATCTTGTGATTCTTCATTTTCTTCATTCACTTTTCCACTAGTAGATTGACTTCTACTTTTAAGAATTTCATTTAACTGTTTACTAGTAAAATCATGTAAACGACTTGTATAATATGCATGTGGATGAGATTCAGTAGCAAGATTATTGTTTTGCCCAACTGGTGCATTTATAAATTCCATAATGTTGCTTTTTAATTCTTCACTGACTTCATAAGGACGGAAAATCCAATTCCTAATAATTTTTAATACTTCTCTAGAAGATGGCCTTTTTAATGGGTTTTCATCCCAACACCTTTTCATCAAATCTACATAACATTGTGGAATATTTTCAATAATTTCAGGACGTTCATCTTCACAAATGCCTAAACTAAGTTGAAGATCATGTGCTCTATTATTAAATGGTGGTATTCCAGATGTAAATTCCCACATAATCATAGAAAAACTATATATATCACTAGCTGGAGTATAAGGTTTGCCTCTTAAAACTTCAGGAGCCATAAATGGTATGACACCATGAATATCATACTTTTTCAAAAACGATTTTACAGATTGACATAATCCTAAATCACTAATATAAATCTTATAGACATCCACACCATAATCATGATTTAAAATATTACCATCATGAAAATCACAATGAATAAGATTTTTTTCATGTATCTTATCAAGTCCAGAAATAATTTCGTACAACATATATAATTTTTGATTCCAATTATTTTTGGCTATACTTATTAAATTTTCTCTTAAATTACCTTTATTTGCATGATCCATTACTACCATATATTTTGAAGTATTTGGATCTTTTGTAAATCCATAAAAATCTATAATATTGAAATCAGATACAACACTTGCATGATGTTTCCACTATAAAAAGTAATAATAGTTTATTAATATAAATAAATTTAATTTAAATTAAAAATAGAAAATAATATACTATCATACTTCTTTCAAAAATTCATTTAAATTTTCATTTAAATTCTTGTGACATTTAAAAATTACTTCAACCTCTTCATCTTTATCTCTGTTATTCCTTAACCAAATAGCACTGTATATAGTACCAAATCCTCCTTCATTAAGATATTCAACATTTTTAAATTTGTCATAAGGAATCCATCTTAATCCTTCTTTAATAATAAAATCATCTATAATTGCATTTCCACTTTTCCCAAATCTATAAATTTAAATAATTAAAATTATATTATAGATTGTATTGTAATTTATACAAAATAAATTATTACTTACTCTAAAATTTAAATTAGGGATTTAATGAAATATAAGTCTTAATTTTTAGATAAATACATATAATAACCTATGATTTACAACTTACCAACTAAAGTAACAGATATTGATATTTTTCAAATAAAAGAATTCAGTTAACAAATAAATATTATATAAAACATATAACAATAGAGATACTTACAAACTAGATCATAAATAATTTTTAAATAAAGAGATTAGATAATTTAAATTATATCATTATATGTAAATATTATAACAATAAGTAACAATAGAATTAAATAAATAACTTACTCTCTATATTATTTAATAATTTTTTAAATAAAGAAATTAGATAGTTTAAATTATATGTAAATATTATAACAATAAGTAATAATAGAATTAAATAAATAACTTACTCCCTATATTATTTAATAATTTTTTAAATAAAGAAATTAGATAGTTTAAATTATATGTAAATATTATAACAATAAGTAATAATAGAATTAAATAAATAACTTACAACCTATATTATTTAATAATTTTTTAAATAAAGAAATTAGATAGTTTAAATTATATGTAAATATTATAACAATAAGTAATAATAGAATTAAATAAATAACTTACAACCTATATTATTTAATAATTTTTTAAATAAAGAAATTAGATAGTTTAAATTATATGTAAATATTATAACAATAAGTAATAATAGAATTAAATAAATAACTTACAATCTATAAAATAATTTTTTAAATAAAGAAATTAGATAGTTTAAATTATATGTAAATATTATAACAATAAGTAATAATAGAATTAAATAAATAACTTACACCCTATATTATTTAATAATTTTTTAAATAAAGAAATTAGATAGTTTAAATTATATGTAAATATTATAACAATAAGTAATAATAGAATTAAATAAATAACTTACAACCTATTAAATAAAGAAATTAGATAGTTTAAATTATATGTAAATATTATAACAATAAGTAATAATAGAATTAAATAAATAACTTACAACCTATATTATTTAATAATTTTTTAAATAAAGAAATTAGATAGTTTAAATTATATGTAAATATTATAACAATAAGTAATAATAGAATTAAATAAATAACTTACACCCTATATCATTTAATAATTTTTTAAATAAAGAAATTAGATAGTTTAAATTATATGTAAACATGAATATTATAACAATAAGTAATAATAGAATTAAATAAATAACTTACCATCTATTTAAATAAAGAATTTAGTTAGTTTAAATTATATGTAAATATTATAACAATAAGTAATAATAGAATTAAAATAAATAACTTACTATCTATAAATAATTTTTTAAATAAAGAATTTAGTTAGTTTAAATTATATAAATAATAATAAAAAAACTAGATATCTATAACTTACACCCTAGTGTTGTTAATTAATTATTAGTTAAGTATAAATATAATATAAAATTATTTACTGTAAATTAAATATATCACTTACAAACTAGTTGTTTAAATTAAGAATATAATTAGTTGAGTTATATAAAATATTAAACAAATAAATATGATATTATAACTTACCTTCTGTAATACAATAATTATTAAATAGTTAATTAAATAAAGAATTTAGTTATTTGAATATTATGTAAAATAAACAAAGTAAAGAATTAAAATTTAAATAACTAATAACTTACTGACTATAGTATTATTAATCATTAAATGAATTATTTAATTACATAAAATGTAATAAAAATGATAAGTAAATCCATTATTATTCAATTATAAGATAACCTATTAACTTACAATCTATATTTGTATATTATATAAGGTGTAATTATAGATAGTATTTAAATGCATTTACAAATAAAAATTTAATATTTTAGCATGTTTAATATACCTATAGATTCCTTGGTACAACTTTTTTCAAATTCTTCAAAGCCACTTTCTTTGAATTCCTCGAATTCCTCAGAGCCACTTCCTTCAAATTCTTCAGTACTGCTTCCTTCAAGTTCAATATTACCAGAAACTAGTTTTATTATATTATAAATTTGTTTAAAATATTAGAATTCTAATTGTATTAAATGTTTATATTATATATATGATTATTACCCTTATCATTATTAAGAGCCATTACTATATAATTATATTAAAATTCTTTCTTACTGGAAAAAAGAATGATAATGTAAATATCTTTTTTATTATTAAACGCCTTTATTAATATAGGTATATATGGTGATAATATTTATGCAAAATGCATTATGCATGTATAACAAACAAATTTTGCACATATATCTCAATCATTGTTGCACAGCAAAATCATAAAGCAAAGAAAAATTTCTTAATACATACTAGTTATAAAATCAGTTTTCATATTCTGGCCAGGTCAGTAAATTACAAATTCAAAAATTTTTTATAATTTTAATTTTTTTTTATATTAAGATAATTGGCCAATAAAAATAGTTTATATTTTATAATATCATAATAACATGAAATCAATATCATCAATATCATAATAAATTGAGGCGGATAAATATTGCTTTAAAGAAAATTTCTTATTCGGATAAATGGAAAAAAAAAAATGTTAGCAATTTTATTTATTTTATTTTGTTAATTTTTATTTTAGAAAGTTTTTACTTCAAATCACCGGGAGTGATCATCACCGTTGGCCAGAATTATCAATTTTTACCGGCACTATATTCATTGTAATGCTGGTCAATCGTCATAATTTCAGTCACCGGTGATCATCACCTCCCGATGATAGTTAGTAAAATTCTTTCAGATAATCATTATTATTAAAGGTCATAATATTAACTTCCAAATCGGTATCCTAATATAATTTATTCTTTTAGGACATAAATTGAATATAAATAAATGATTAAATTTTGAATTTAAAAAAAGAATAATGATTAATTTACAAAATTAATTTATTTAAAAACGATTTCTGATGAATAAAAAGATTTAAGATCTCAAGTAATTAATATGCACTTTGTTTATTATAATTTTTGTATATTTCTTAATCCATTAATCATTTACGCGTTTATTCTGTTTTATTTCTTTGTATAAGATATTATTTATATTTAAGATAAGTATACTAGAAACTGGAAAAGTATATTAACAAAATTTATTTAATAATATTAAAATATAGTATTAAATAATGTATATCACCTTTTACAAAATTTTACTATGAATATTAACTTGTAAGAAATATTGGTGCGCAAATTTTTCAAAAATTAAGAGTAAACTGATCTTCTAACAGTGGTCGTAATTCTATCGAGGGATACAGTACCTTAAATCAATAAAGTTGCATATTTCAAGTTTTACATCAAAATCGACAGATATTTTACATTGTTTTTGTTTTTGATCGGGTATAACTAAACCTTGTTATATTTATATTTTAACAATTTCAACTTGCTACTAACATTTTATAATTTTTTGCGTACTATCTATCACATGACATAATTAATATTCTGAAATATATTTAATTACAAGAAATATTTATAAATAGCGTTAAAATTTTATTAGTTCAATATATATAAAGCTCTTCTCGGACTTAGAAGATAATTTTAATTTTTTTTATTTGTTGCTGCTGACTACTAGTTATTGATTCCAAAATGATGACATTTTCGAAATTGTAGTGGAAGACGCAACCTTTGATGACCCAAATAAAGATTCAATACCTTCAACATTCTTATAGCCAATATATCATCATTCAGTTTGTTATCATCTATGTTAAATAGTCATTTTTAATAAGTTTTATTTAAATAAGATCAATTTAAATTATTTTTATTTTTTTTACGTAAATATATTAATAATAAAAATGTTTGTGAAACTGTTATATTTGTAATTCAACTAAATTTGTTAAAACTTTATCAAAATATAATTATCTGTTCTGAAATGCATTTTTAACCGATTAAATTGATTAATTAATTAAATGAGATACCTTAATTGGTTAACCAACTTAATCGATTAATTAATCGATTAATCTCCAACTTCTAAAAATTTAATCAATGTGTTCTATCACAAAAGTAAAGTTGCAAAATAAAAAAATTAAAACGAGTTTTATTAGTTTTATTAAGAATTTATCTGTAAAATTTTGAAACTTAAAAACAAATAATTGTTCTATTATAATATAATGTAATTTTCTTTGTTTTGTTAAGTGAACATGTACCAGGACCCAGAAATATATATAAAAGGGTCAGGTTTGAGTTTGCGTATTTTGAACTAAAAAAATCATGAAAATCTTTCCTTTTTTAGATAATTTTTGATAATGCCAGTCAGAATTTTATTCCCTATTATAGTAACTGACTGGCATTATCATAATTCCGGCACTGAAAAAATGCGTACAGCTCATAGTAAAAAATTTTTTCATCACCTGACCCCTATATATATATTTCTGGGTCCTCATGTACCACTGCAAGTTAAAACTTTTTAACCATGTTTTATTGTAAGTACCATAGTTCAACCTCTTCACAAAATACCATAACTTTTATAAAAGCCCAAGAAGCTGCAACGCAGTGTTTCAATTTGTTTATCCGCAATCCGTATTCGTGGACGGATATCCACCATTTACGGTGTAATGCCGAAATTTACCTAATGAATTTATTAAATGTGGGGCGTAGTATTATATTTAGTTTAAATGTGTAATGAATATATAGGTAGCATGACAACTGATACATTTTCGATTCGGTTTACAGTAATTCAAATATGAATTGTTGTTACTGTTGTACATCAATAACGTCATCACATGTTCACTTTCTAATAAAATAAAGTAACAAAGGAAATGTAGATCAGATAATACAAGAATTACGTAATTATGTACTGTACATTGCGATAATAGTTAAGGATTTATGGAGTAATATCAATAATGAAAAGATAATCTTCAGAATTATGAATTTTGTATAGAAATAATGAAAGAAAAGTTTAGAATATTTTTTTAAAAAGGAAATTAATTATAACAGGATGAAATTAACTTAGCCCAAAATATCTAAATTGAATAAATTAAGACACAGATCAAAATGAAACTTTAAAAATTTTAAAAGGGATTAATTTTGGAATTAAAAAGGGTAAATATTAGTAAGCGGGAAAATTGAATTATTTTATTAAGGATTTTGTTTTATTCTGATAGTATTTATTAATGTATTAATAAGCATAAAATGAGAAATATAACTATCAAAGTTTGACATTTGAAATTTAGGAAGTTGGGATTTTATTAATGATTTAGAATTTTGAATAAGAGATTATAAATGTCTACGCATTATGAAAAATGCTCAATCACGTGAGTTTCTCTGTCCCTCATGTGACATCATCCAATGAAATCGCAAATGCGAGGTTTATCTTTTTAATCGCACTGGACTTCATTTCCTAGTTTATCAGTAGTTAAAAATTGTATAGTCTTTATTGATAATCATAGCGGAACCATCAATGATATCTACTTCCCTATGAAATAACTAACATTCCTATCAAAGTTGATAAGCACAAATCAATCAAATCATAGATAAAATTACGTAAGTAAAAAAGTATAAATTTAATAATTACATAAGCTAATTCTAATTATAATATTATAAGCAACCTTTATTATTGTTAAATAGGATAAATACAGTTATTACAGTTTATCTTACAGCCAAATAGGATTAATTAATATTGATGTTTTCTCATACTAAATAATATGTAAAAGTTAAAAGGACCTGTCATGTTAACATATACAATTATTATTGGTTATATTGTGGAACTGTAGAGTTTTACGCTTGCTTAAATAATTCACAATCTCGAATTGGTAAAATTTAAAAAATCCGCTGCAAAAATTTTTAAAAGAAAAAAAATATTTTTATACAAAATGTCAGAATTTTTTTTTTTTTTGAGATCAGAGTATCGTAGCGGCCCATTTCGGATATTTAACAGAACAATAGGGAAAACTTCACGAGAACTATAATGTATATTTATAAATAAAGTAAAAAATTATTTAAATTACAAACTAAGAACTTGTAACCATTTTACTATTATAATCTTAGCTTTTAAATAATTCTAAAAAAAAAAAAAAAAAAAAAAAGAAAACATAATGACGATATAAATTTTAAAAAAACCCACAAATATAATTAAATTTCATTTTTTAATACCTAAATAAATAAGTAGATAAAGTAGATAAAAATTAATTTATATACATACAAAAATTAGTTGTAGATGGCCTTTTTGATGGATTCTTATCCCAGCATTTTTCATCAATAGTAGTTCAAAGTGAAAATTTATCAGCCAAAAGAACTCGAGATGAAAATACAAAACAAAATATAGTAGAAGTTGAATTTGAATTTGACAAGCTGTAAACATTATTTTTATCTGATTAGTTCTTGCCGTAATCAAATTAGGACGTCAAATTCATCAGGCAACTAAAGAATACAAGATACGCTTATAACAATTTTAATATACGCCAGTTAATAAGTAGTTAATCAATTGTATTTGAACGTCCAAAATTATGGTCATATCAATCTAGAGTACTTTTGTTATTTTTGCGTGCGAATATAAATTTGATTTAAAATACAAAATATAGAAAAAGAATAAATTACTCAAAATACGGAATAATAATAATTAATAAACTACTATATACCAAAATATAAGAAAACTATCTATGGTAGTTTCTAAATACCAATCTTTGAAAACTAAATTATCTGCCTTCATTTATGAAATTACAAAATCTCGTTTTAATGTTTCGGCCGCGATGAATAAATCAAATAAAAAATCATATCTTCTTGTAATGAAAATTCCCCAGTATAAATATATCTAATAAAAATAAAATAAAATTAATTTTAAAATTTCGAAATTTTTTGATTATTAAATAAAATGATAAAAATTGACTTTATGTTATCATCACTAATTGATGTTGGGAGAGAAAGATATAATATTAAAAATCAAATTTAATAAAATAGTTATAAAATTATTAATTACCTAAAGTTTTAGCTTTAACTCTTTGAAATGATAAGAACGACTTGTGTAATGAGTACCAGGATGATTATCGATTAGGTTCATAGACCGATTATACTTTTTTCTACGTGAATTTGCTAAAAAAATCTTTATTTGGTCTTTCATGGTTTTCTAACGTTGTTATAATTTGTTGAGCTGTTGGACGATTTTTTGGATCCAAATCCCAATTAATTCCATGATATATTTAGGAATACCCAATTTCTGGACATCACGTCTTCAAATTCTATTTAATTAATTTTCCTTTATAATTAAACTTATGAGGACCAAGCTTATAATTACCATAATTTGTTTTTTTGCATCTAAATCGTCCACATTTTAAACAATATCCATCATTACTTCTTTTTTCAGGTCTACACTTACAATATGAATAATTACATTCTAAACACCAAGAACACATAATTATGTTTTCATTATCTTTTTCGCATACTTCGTTAATTTTCATTTCGTTCATAGCTTTATTAAGTTCTACAAAATCTAAAGTTTTTCCAAGAGTCAGTGAAAAGGCTCGTAAAATAATAAAAGAACGTTGTATTCCAGAAATATAGATGGGAGATATTCCACCCATACACATTCTTACCTTCATTATACTTCTCATGTACTTCGTTAATTTTCGTTTCGTTAATAAATTCATTATTAGATAAATATGGTTCTACAAAATTTAAAATTTTTCCAAGAGTCAGTGAAAAGGCTCGTAAAATAATAAAAGAATGTTGTATTGTTGTCCAGAAATATAGTTGTCATCCAGATGCCAAAAGCTGAATAAGCAGATGGGAGGTATTCCACCCCATACACATCTTACCTTTAAAAAATTTCCTTCTTTTATTTTTTTCTTCTTTTTTTTTAATTTCGTTAAACTTTTTCATTCGAAAATAATTTCTTATATTATTTTTACATAATGTTATGAAAGGACGATATTTTTGTTTGAGATTTCTTTTAGGCATTTTTCATTTTTGTTGAAGTCACTAAATTTTTCAGTTTTAGTGAATTGAATGTGGAATGATTGTCTTTAAATATTAAATGGAAGTTAACATATGACTCATTATTACAGTGTTGGAAAGTTGACATAAAATGACACAAATGATCTGATCTAAATGAAATGTCACACGTCATAATGTCATTTCAGAGAGCAAATATTTGTCATTTAGAATTATATCAGAATTATTATACAAATTGCGGCATTTTGGTGTTAGTCAGGATTATATATTCCATGTGCCCATAACTATAGCTGCGGTCAACCCGTAGCATTTGTATTATCAAGAAACCGTTAGCACGCCAAATACGTACTTAACGCGGAAGTTGGACTTCAACATACAACTTGACCAATATCAGATATGAACAAACCTTATTGAGAGTTGATTGCTCTAAAAATGTGTGAAGCAACCGTTTAAGTTTGGAATATACATTACTATCAAACATTATGATAATAAAAACAGTAAAAAATGGGAATTTCAAGAATCATACAATTTCTTTAAAGAATATAAAAACTTTAAATTTGATATCATCAGATTACAAGTCCAAATTTCAAGATGAAACTGTATACCTCGACTCCATATGAACCCAATACTTCATTGACACAGCCAACTCCTCCTGATCGTATTATATTAAAAAAATTCAACACCTGCCATATAAACTTTTTAGTCATCTTCATCCACCCTTATAGCCTGAACAGAAAAAATCTAAAAAACGTAAAAAGAATTGACGTAAATGACAATTAAAAATGGCTTGTCATAAAAAAGAAAGGCAACTAGAACAAGAATAATTAATGAAAGAACACCAAGAACATAAAAAGAACCCAGTGTATATCCAACAAAAGAAAGAAGTGGACGCTGCCTGAAACTTGAACGTTAAGCTAAATGTCTTTAGCCAAATGTGAAAAAAATGAACAATGGAAAGCGCAATGGAAAGCACAAAAAGTTGTAGATAAAGCTGCACACACGATGTTAATTCCGCTATGCAATCTAGATACGAATTTCACCTCAACAAGAAAGATTTCAAATTTCTCTCATGCCAAGACATGTTCATCAAATGCTCTCACCTATGAGCGACAATGAAACTTCTGACAAATGTAAACATTCAAAATCAACAATCATTGACGAAAATGACATGCCTACCTCTGGGTCTAAGAGGATGAGTGATTACCATCTCCCATCTCCTCTCCATAAATAGACCACCTTTCATTATCCCTGATAGAACTGGTCATTCCTAAATAGTTCAAGGTTTATTATTTTAGGCGGGACGTTCTCACGCGTGAGGTTAGGTTTTAACTTTTAGAATGTTTTATTACTTTATTTTAGAGTGATTTCTACATGGTGCTGTACCTTCATTCTGTCATCATGTTAAAAATAAAAATAATCATTTTTAAGTTTCGAACAAAATGAAACTTATTTTTTTTTTTTGATGTTTCAAATGAACTTTAGAAACTTTTTAAACTTTTCGTAATTTTTTATTTAAACTTTAGTAGTATAGTAAAGTTTTGACTTTTGAAACTTAACTTTTAAAAACTTTTTTATACAAATGAAGTTTCGAATTGAAAAAGTCATGTTGATAACTAGGCGATTGTTAATAATAATGAATTTTTATTTGAAATAATAATTAATCTTTAATGAATTGCCATTTTATTAACATTAAATGTTCATTAAAGATTTAATGATTTAATTAATTTATTTAATTTATTTCAATTAATGATTCTTTAACAAAAATAACAATTCTTTTTTAAAAAAAAATAATTTGATTAATAAATTAGGTAATGGTTATAGCACAAAATTGAGAATCTTAATTTTTGATAAAACGATAAATATGAAAATTTTTTGGTCAATAAAATAAGTATTTTTGTTCATTAATTTAAATAATATTATTTTTAATAATTTTATTAGTAAAATTTATGGTTCGGTCGGTGGTTCTGATAGAGTCATCCCCATCCCCAATTATTCCTATAAAAAAATTTATCCGTTATTTTAAAAATGAGCCTTTCACGGATCCATTCACAGAAAATGTAAATAATTCAATAAATTCCATGATATAAGGTTATTAATTCCAGAAATATGAACCTTTTATGGAAAAAAGATGGAATATAAAAAACGGATTGACTTATAAGTATCATTGATCAAAGCACTAGGATAAATTCGGAATTTTGCCAAAATCAAATAATGATGCAATATTTATTACTTGTGACACGTTACTTGTGAAATATTATTTTAAAATGTATAAAAATAATGTATATTTTTTCGTAAATCATGTAGGAATATTCAAGTATATAGTTTAATAGCGGTACGTAGTGTCGCATTAGACTATTATATAGTTTAAATCATATTAAAATCATGTCCATACATGTATACCAATAATTGGAATAAAATATTCAATTATTAAATAGTTCTACTAAATCAAGTGATTTTCTTTAGCAAGAATAAATTTAAGGATAGATTCTCTCATTTATTGTGAATATCCTGACATAAATATAAATTAGGCAATTAAATATAGTGCTTTACAGGCATTGTATTATCTTCTTAATATAAAGCTTAGTAAAGCATGAAATTAATTCTCAACTTCCTACCAACTTTATAATTTATAATTTTTAACTACATTTTATGATTTTATTCAAAAATGTGTTCGTATGGAGAAATCCCTTTGATAACTAATTTCAAGAATACTAAATACTTTATTGCAATAAAAAGTTCCCAATAATAAATTATGCATGATACCATATATAATTTTGATTTAATTAATTGACCGTCCACGGTTTGCTTGTAATTACTGTAATGTAAATTGTAATCAAATAATTCTTCACATTTTCAATAAACGGTTTGTACTTGGAAACTTTTATTTCCTCATGTTAACATTCTCACGAGATCTTTTTAAATTGCTATGCTACTAACTTTCATATATAAAACTTTGTCTAAATGAAAAAGTTTGTATAATATTCTTTCCTACAGCTGGCTACAGTACCACCTCTTTGCAAAATATATAACACTCCAAGTATTCTCATTACCACTAATTCAAACCAAATTTTGAAAATCTTAATATGTGATGACTTAATTATTTTGATAAAAGAATCTATTGAGATTTATTTCGAATTATAAATGAATTTAAAGGAGCAATATAACTCGAAAAGAAATTTCAGCCAAATAGATAGGTAACCCATTAACATTGCAATTATATTACTTTCTACAAACTGTTAATATAGAACTTGATTAAGAATTTTCTTATTAAAAGCGAAAAATCAAATGTTATTGTTGAATGGTTTCGGCTGACTATCATGTGTGGTTAACAAAGAAACGTTCGTGACCACAAAGTTTTCGTAGAAGAGTAGACGTAATATATTGTTCTTCAATAATTAAATAAATTGGGAACATTATTATTTAAACAATAAATTGAAAAACCACTTGATTGTTAATTTTTATATGCTATATTTTATGCATATACTGCACAACTAGATAATTTAAATTATTGTGGCTGTGATTTTTGTACAGCTTTCCGCAATTTCAGGCTTTGTCAATATTATGTGGCAAAGTTTTGAATGTGACCTTGATTGGAAAAATTAAATGTGTAGATTTTTTATTCGTTCAATTTGCTGTAAAAAAAAAAAAATATATTTAAATATAAATAAGTCTGAAGTTCATTGATTTTTGTCTTTCAAAAAATTATATATCATTAAATTAAAAACAGAGAAAATAATAATTATTATTAACCACTTAAATAATATCATAAAAAGTTTATAATTATGTATAATAATAACAATGGTTTTTGTACAATTTAACAAAAGACACTTTTATGTAGCCACTTACGAGAATCTACTAAAATTAAATTAAATTCAAATTAAATTTTTAGAGTCTATAAATATGACAAAAGTTTCTATTATTTTATCTTTAAATGAAAATAATATCAATCAAATTATTAATTATGTTGTTTATCCATCATCATCATGGTTTACAATCTTCCCAAGATATCTCATCAAAAATCAACTCCTTACAAAAAGGATACATTAAATGAAATTTTTATATAACATTACAGTAAACATAAGATACATTATTATCAATTGATTCTGTAGAATGGGAAAAATATGTATGATATAAGTATACAATAATTCGTTAACACGGAAATACCTACAGGATTTACAAATAAAGAAATGGTGTAGAATCATCCCTATAAGAGATTTATCTAATATTATAAAAATGTTGTCAATGTCAGCACAGCCAGGAGCAACTTTAATACTGACGGGAGCAACTTTTTATAGTAAGATTTACTAAATACCAGATCACCATCCATTCACCATAATGAATTTTACCAGGTCTTTGGTCCAAATTTTAATTTTAAAGACACTTGAAATTCAATCATAGATAGTTTAAATAATTTCTATGCATTAATACTTTTCATCAACCCAGATTTAGATCATTAGTTCTTCAAACACTTTCATTTAATTACCTAAAATCAAATTATTATATTATATGTTAGCCTATATATAATTAATATCAAAAGTTATAGAAGATGAATATATATGGATATAACCAATCTGCTTCTTGATTTAGCTTATAATGGATGGCATAAAATCAGGAGCAAAATCTGTAAAGACATTGAACACAGTATCTAGATAATTTTTTAGTTACCACAGTAATCCTAGTTTTGATGTAAATGCTATCTCTGTTAAAAACATACTGAAGAGATAAATGATGAATTGATTTTCAAGAAATTAAACTTTCATTTTTATTTTTATTGTTTTTGCCAATAACTCTCCTATTCTTTTCATAAGCCAATTTTTTTTTCGCCACTTTTATACGTTATTTTCTCCATTTTTTTCACTATGACCAGAGTTACCGTAAATAAACTCCAATGACTCTGGATATTTATACTATTCATTTTTGATTTTACTAAAAGAATTTATTGATGTAAGATGTATAGATCATTATATAAGATTTTGAAATGGAATTTGGAGGGAAATTTACCATTGATGAACAAGAATTAATGGCAAGTAATTAGCATATTTCTTGTAAATAAAAAATACAAGGAAATAGAAATTCAAGAAGATTTTGCAATTATAAATTTTGGAAATATTGAGACAAAACTGTAGTAATTATGCTGCCTAATATTATAAATTTTATTATAAATATTAAATATAGTGTTAATAATCATTAAAAATATTAAATAGTGTAATTGGACGATGATATTGGCAAAATCATATTAATAAGTGGAGAATATAAAAAAATTGACATAGAAGAAGGTTTTCATGTTATAAAAAAATTGATACTGACTGTAAGAATTTCGAAAAAATCAGCATGGTTAAAAAAGTTGAAAGACAGATTTAGTTATAGTTTCATCTGAAAATAATTTAACTAGAGCAGATAAAAATTGTTTAGAGAATTCCCGAGATTTTAATAGCTAAAAAATTAAGACATGAAAATCAACTCAAGCAGATCGGCTATATATAGAGTTAGAATCTCTTTATAATCTAACTCTGCCTTTATTCAAAAGGAAAAGGATGAGTTTCAGGCTTATTGAAAAGAAATAATTTAGTACAATTTTTTATTTCCCTAATTTTAACATTATTATACAATATTTGACAAAACTTTCAATGATGATGATTTCAAATTCTCTATAAACAAAAAATTGACAAATCTCATTTTCTATATTTCACTGGAGAAACCTTGTGCAGGATGAAATTACAGTATATATTGTTATATTTTTGGAAAATTTGATGGTTTTTGTCATCCAAGAAATTATAGCATTATTTGTTTCTATCACAATTTCTAAAAATAAGTAGAAATTTATAGTTAGTAATGCCTATGAAGACTTCAACTATCTGTTACATACATGAGTCCACCGAATGTCTAATGCAAGAATACACCGTAAAGGAAGTTATGGTGGTTGCATTAATGCAGTTTCTGTTGAAAGACTTTGGAGTTGTATGGGATTTTTACAAACAAATGTTACAATTAATTGTATATATATTAGTTACTATTCAATTTATGACTGATGAAGAAACTAAATATTTGATAGATCAAAGGATGTTTAGGAATGAAGTGTTTTGGGGTTTAAGTAGTGTAAATCAAATGGACTTTTGGAATAGTATCACAATAAAATCAACAAATGCTTTTGAACAACATTTATGACAATACAAATAAAAACAAAATGGAAAAATTTTGTAAAGGAACATACTGCAAATATACTAAATATATAAAATTATTAATTACTCTGGATTTCTTATTATCATTTTAATTCTAATGATATATAAGTATCTTAGCAGAACTGTAATCCATTATTCTTAAAGAACTGTAAACTTCACCACAAATTAAGGATTTATATTAGATATTATCAAATCATTGCCATCTTATTAATCAAAGTAGAAAAAATAATACAATAGTTATTTTTTAATCATTCATTTAGAAATCTATATCTGAAATGAACCAATCAATAATTACACCAAATGAATGATAAAATTAATAGAAATTAAATGAAAATACACTTGATCTTTTAATCGGAATAGCAACATTTGAAGAAGTAAGTCACATATTGGAATCTTTTTCATCATTAATATTATTAATTTATAGAAATTGCAAATTATGTATAAGTTTATTAAAAAAAGATGAATTCATTACCCAAATTAAACATATAAATCTTTATGATGATAATCCTACAATTACTTTACCAAACACCCTTACTACTTCTAAAATTTATATTCCTATTATTAAAATAATTTCAAATACTATCATTATCACAACTGATGATGACGAAATACCTGATGATTACTATCCAATTTCTATTGATGATGATACAGTAATATAGTCAATAATATTATTCAATTAAAACAACTAATCAAAGCTTTGAAATAAACTAAAAACTATGAAAAGAAAATACTAAAAGTCAATACACAAAAAGCTGGCAGGTTTTGCATATATATAAATGTTAATAATGATATAGGTTTATATCCTAATACTGATAAAAAACAAGCATTCATTAAATCAAACTTTAGAGATATCAATCAAAGGATTTCTTATCTGTTATATTTGAAATAGACTTAAAATCTTATTGATTCTAATGCTAAATGGACATTAATAATTTTTTTAACTCACAAGATATGAAAGATGACTAAAGCCATAAACAGCTATTATTTTCATATGTTAGACAACCCAACCCATCAAAGTAGAAGTTTTTGGAAAAATCTTGAACAGTTTGGAGCTTTCATTAGTTATGGTGATCTTCCATATACCAGTTCTGACACTGCCAGCTCTCATAATGTTAAACATCAGAATTGTATTAATGATTTACTTTTTCACCTACTTTCTAATGAAAAAATTTCTTCTTGGACTAATAATAAAATATCATATAAGGAAATTACTGAACATCTAATTAACTATTGACTGGATGCATATAAACTTCCCTTCACAATAGAATAAACTTTACCAAAATTAAAAAATTTGTTTACAGTATCATATGATCAATAACTGTAATCAAATACCAATCAACATGAAAGATAAAAAAATTTCTATTTTAAATAATCAATAAAAACAACTTAACTCAAAATTGGCTAGTACATCAAACAATAATGAAATAGAGTTTATTCCAGATTTATATAATAAGGAAGCCCATAGAAATACAAATGATCTATAAAGCATTCATCTCCAAAGATTCAAAAGTTTCTTTGTAAATGAAAAATATTTTGTAAAGTTACAAAAAAAAACACGTGTTATTCATTTTCTTTGCCATATTAAAGAAAAAAAGACATACATGAACAATATAATATACTTAAAGTATTTCTACAAATCAAATCTCAAACAATAACAGTACACAAAAGGAAATAATGGGACCTTGCGAAAATTGCAAAGCTATTCAGAATTGGTTGAAACATTAATACAGAAAATTATATTTGAAACTAAGATACTAATATCATTAGGGTAGTTGATATTAAACTCCTTATACAACACATAGTTAATCAAATAGGTAAAGCCATTATTTCATACAAAGAAATAATTAAAAAACCAAACAATCAATACTTTAATGCCAATCAACAACCTGGAAATAACAACACAGCATCTATATCACAATAAAAAATGGTTCAACACAAGGAAACTTTATTTTAAACAAGCTATCATTAAATTTTCTAATAATAAATCAACTACTTGATAGATATCCCGATAAAATGAAATTTTATATATTTTTAATTTGGTTTTGTGATATTTTTATATATAAATGTATACATTCATACAAACCAACATATTTTCTTCTACCAAAATTTCATATATCTATATTTTACCAAATGATTATATAGGAAATGATAATAAATTAGAAAAACCTTTTCTTTACCAAAATTATCTACACTTGCCCAAATCTTTCAAAGGCAAATTATTCTCAGACACAAAATTTTGGCATAAGAATTTGTTACATATTCTCCTGCTTTGCCCCAACATGAACTTAAAACATGAATGGAAAATTACAATACATTTAAAAGGGCAGTATGCACTTTTTTAGTTAAATTATGCAACATTTATGAAAAATACATCCATCAATTCAAAGATTGTGATACTCCATACAAGATAGATCTTAATAATCATAAATTATATACCAAGATCTTTATTCAAAAAGAAAGAACAAACCTAACACAAAATAAAGAACTTATAATAACTATATATAGTATAAGGAAAGTATCTCCAGTACATTCTTAAGGTATTATAAAAGCGGGCTGCTGATAATTTAAGCTGATTGTTGATTTGGGCAAATCGCAATTTAAATCTTCAGATAAGAATATAAGATCCACATGTACTAAACGTGAAAACATGTAAATTAGTAAATTTAACTCCAAAAGAGTGCTTTATACTCTGCAAGTAAGCTTATTAGAAAAATATATAAGGATGTAAATACCATAAAAAAGTTAAACTGGAAAAGACAATGATAAAATCAAGTTAAATAATTAGTTCAAGGCTCAAAGACTCATTACTTTTATATTATTAAGCTCAACCAAATTTCTCTGCAATGATACAAGATCTTACTGTTACTGCTCTTAATACAGCTATCAGAAATGTATCCTTAGAGCTAACACAACTTCCAAACATTCTGGCAGTTAATATCAACAATATAATCTAACTAAACTGTAATAATATCAAAAATACCAACTTTAGAGATATTCTTAAAAAAAATATTAAAAATATTCTTATTCTTATTCTTATTAACTAATCATGAGCGACTCCAAAAACTACTCTGGCCAAAATGGTGAATCCTATGTTTGATTTGTATTAATTGTATTACTTATCAATTCAATAATTCTAAAAAGGCCAGTATTAACTCATAATGGACAGAATCAAAAACAAAAAGGGTAAAGCTAATAGAATAGTTTTTTACATATATCACAATCCAACATCCAACACCCTCTAACAATAACAAATGCTACATAAAATTAAGAGAATAATTCAACAAAATCAAAAAATTATATAAAATACTATCTAAACAATATATAATTTTCAAATAGAATATTAAGAATAATTCTAATCAAGACTTCTTGATAGTTCTTGATAATTAAAAAAAATAAACCCTTTTTTTGCAGACCGAACATAGTGCATATGCAAATAAATAATACATTCATTATTCCCTTAAAAATGGCAAATACCCATGGGCTCTCATAAACAACTTGCTCATCCAGGATTCTAATACAAAACTAACCAAAGAAAGCAAAGAAAGTACCAAAGAAGAGGTAAGCCACCAAAGTCCAACCTTAGCGTTATTTATACATCGTCTGACAAAGATATCACTGTATTAGCTATGATATAATTTCAGAACTCAAATGGAAATTAAAAGAATTTGTAAAGTAGGAAATTGTATTACAATATTCTCCTTTAATTTCAAAAGGACAAAGTTGGGCTTATTATAAAATTAAAAAAGAAAATTATTCCCTCCAAAAAAACTTCTATCAACTCACCTTTTATCTTTCATCCTTTACACCTTCAACAATTTAAATAATATGAAATAATACTTTTAATTTAAAACAGCAGATTTAATTTTCCAGAAAAGAAAAATTTTAATTTCAGAATAATTTAAAGGGAAATTTTTATTTAGTTTATTTTACAGATAAAAGGAGCTCAATAATGTTAATAAAAAAGGTAGATAAATAAGTCAAAAATACATGTTTAAAACAAGATAAAATATCAGCATACTTGATAGATATAAGTTATATTGACATATTATGTCATACTGTATGATGCAACATTACTTTAATATAGAAAAAATTAATGGACGTATATTAATAGTTGATTTTTCTTTTAGAAATAACAAAAAATTACGTTTAATATTATTTTATAATTTAGCTAATCATAGGACTGGTGAAGAGATTAACAACAAGATTGATATGAATACACATGTGATTAAGCAGATTAAGAAAGCTAAATCTCAAAAAATGGAAATTATTTGTTGTGGTGATTTTAATTTACAATATCGAAGGTTTAAAAAACGACAAGATAATAAACAGTCTATACCAAAAATGTTAAAAATTTTTCAAAAACTTGAGGATCTTAATTTATGGGATGTTCATAAAGAAACTTATGATATGGATAATACAAAAGAAATAATGACTTATTGGTGCTTTATTTGATTATTGGAATGATCCTCCTACAGCACATCAAATTTTATTCAATTTCAGCCATATTTAAATAAGATTATAAAGAATTTTGTTGATGATATATATGAAATATTTACACAGTATTTTGGTATAATTTAATATTTCAATTGCAAATTATTTGGTAAGATAAATTTCTTTTGAAATATAATTTACTTTAGCATTTGGGTTTGCCTATTAATTATTTATTATATTAAACAAAAAATTCATTCATGTAATATTTTATCTATCTTGAAAGTAATTTTATTGGGCATCCCTATAGGATCATGTTATTTAATTTCCGCTTAATATTGTTAATGCATTACTCATTTACCAAATATCATTTACATAAGTTTAGCTTAATACTGTACAACAATTCAATTTGAAATGAAATATAAATGTACAATTATTAAAAATTGATCCGTTTCCTTTAAAAATATCCTGTAAAGTTTCAGTTTCATTTATTGTTAATTTGTTGGATTTGTTAGAAAATGGAATTTGGCTTTTCTTGATTGATTTTAGCTAATTAAATTAAGTTTAGTAAATAGAAATCAATAAAATAAATAAAATAAAATATTAATAAATTACCTTTAAAAACTTCGCGTGCATTGGTAAAAGTTGATTGAAGTTCAATCGGTGTTAGTGCTTGCTTATCTGGTGTTGAAAAATGTAAAAAGGGTTCTAGAACTTCTAAAATTCATATTGTATATTTAGTATATTTAGTAAGGATGAAAATCAATTTAAAAATTAAAAATAAAACTCACCCGAGCCTTCCATTTAATCATTATCTATAAGAATGTTTATTAAGTTGTTTAACTTCACATTCTGCATTTTCTCTTTAGTTCTTTCATAGCTAGTAAATCCTGAATTTGATTTATGCTAGGCGGGTAATTGCCATAACTTCATTGTCACTAGTATCAAGTTCTTTCAATATTTCTACTAAACTTTTTCAGGCGCCGTGATTGCTGATATTTCGATTGCCAATATCAATACCACATTCTATTACAATTTCATGTAAAAAATTTTTTAATCACTTTTTACCAACATGAAACTTTTGAAACCAATGATTATAAATAATATAATCTATAAATAAATTAATTAATTAACTAATAAATGCCATATTACTGAAAAAATAGCATAAAATGATAAAGTACATTGAACTCACCATCTTCAGCCACATATTCTCTTAAATAGAATTCTTTATCAGCATTACCTGGTCTTTTAGAAAAATATTTGTTATAAGTTTCCATTATCATTGGATGATATGGAATTCTTAATTTTTCATCATTAATGAGCCATTAATACCCCTTTGATTTGTTTTACTTTGAGGAATATTTACATCAAAACCCTGACCATTAGCTCTAAACTTGAAATGAGAATATTGTAACGAATAGTGCTCACCACCTCTAAGAGCTAAGAATAATGCATTTAAAAAAGACTTTTTTAACAATCCAGTGGGTATGTCAATGTTTAATGCTGGTGAATACAGTATTTTTTTACATTCTTCAACCACTCCTTGAACATTGGCCTTTCCTTGTTCTGCTACATGTTACATTTTACCATCTAATACATCATATAATATTGGAAATTAATTTTCTTGAAGTAAAATCCATTGATACTGTAATAGTAATGATAAATCATTTAAATGTCAGTTCAATGCATGTATAGCATTAAGTATAGATCTAGCCTTGTATTCTTCACCAGAATTAGTCTTCATAACTGTTATGAAACTACAGGTTTGACTTTCTAACTCCTTTCTATAAGTAATATCTATGCTTTTACCAGTAAATCCAGCTTTTTCACAAAAGTTTTCAAATTGGTGAACCCAATTTTCTGTGGGTTTATCTATATTTACTACTCTTGGCTTATTTTTGAAATAATTTATTTCATCTTCTGTAGGTAAATAAAACTTGAATAGAAAATACTGTATTAGCAAATTAATATAACAATATTTTGGTAGTAATAATAACATACTTTATCATTATTTATTTTATGTTGAAAGAAGAAAAATGGGTATATAAAAAATGTATATAAAAAAGAACGTGTAAAAGAAAAACGCGGAAAGAAAAAAGATGAGTGGATTTAAAAGAAAGCTTAAATAAACTTTCAAAACATGATCTGCTAAAAGTTGATTTGACCATCAACATTATTTGTGACACGTAGTGGTACAATAACGGCCAATCATTTGACGTCGATGGTCATATTGAATACTTCTTAGTTCTTACCCAATAACTATATAATATAATATAGTGTATATTTTCGTATATTTTATAAAAGTACAATAATAAAGCAAAATTCTTTAGAACTTGACAAATTAAAAATTATATGAAACTTTTCTATAAGTTAAAAAACTCTATAAGTAAATATAGAAAATACATTTCGGCCAATTTGTTCGTCATTTATTTAGTTAGTGATCTGCATTTATAATAAAAATCAACTATTATAGATTAAATATCAGTTTCCTATAATATCATTATTTATGAATTTAAGAGAATATTTTTTAATTGATTTAGAAATTTTTGAGCTTAATAAAATTCTAATTATTTTAATGTCATCTGCATATAAAATGTATTAAAATATTTTAATTTCATTTATATTGTTTGTATGATAATTTATATTTATTTAAATTACAAACTAAGAAACGTGTAAATATTTACTACTCTAGACTTAATGTTTAAATAATTTTAAATATAAATATAAGAATAAAGAAAGAAAAAATACATATTTGATAATTGGATAAGCTATAAAAGAAAGAATTTATTTAAATTACAAACTAAGAAATTTGTAAATATTTTACTACTCTAGACTTAGTGTCTAAAAAGAATGAAACAAAAAACAATTTTTATTGAATGCATAATATCAAATTTCACTTAAAAGAATATAGATTTTTTAAAACACACAAATAATCAGTTAATTTTTATCTGTTTTAATATCTAAAAAATTAAATAAAAAAAATTAATTACACGTAAATAATTTGCAAATTACCTTTTTTGTATATATTACATTCCCAATGACCTCATATATTTATCATTCAAATCTTCACTTATTAACATTTACTGTGAATCTTCACTTTCAAGAATTTTATTCAATTCTTTACTAGTAAAATTATGAAAACGACTTTTATAATATGCTTGTGGATGAGATTTAGTAGTAAGATTATTATGCCCAATTGGTGCACTTATAAATTCCATAACATTGCATTTTAATTCAGCATCAATATCTTCAGCTTTCTTTCTATAAGGAAGAAAAATCCACTTGATAATAATATTTAAAACTTCTTTAGAAGATGGCCTTTTTAATGGATCTTCATTCCAACACTTATTCATCAAATCTACATAACATTGGGGAGTATTTTCAATAATTTCAGGACGTTTCCCTTTACAAATACTTAAACTAATTTGAAGATCATGTGCTCTATTATTAAATGGTGGTACTCCGGATGTAAATTCCTACATAATCATAGAAAAACTATATATATCACTAGCTGGAGTATAAGAATTGCCTTTTAAAACTTCAGGTGCCATAAATGGTATAACACCATAAATATCATTTTTTTTCAAAGATGATTTTACAGGTTGACATAGTCTAAAATCACAAATATAAATTTTCTCCTTATTATCATCATTATGATTTAAAATATTGCCATCATGAAAATCACAATGAATAAGATTTTGATTATGTATTGTATTAAGCCCAGAAATAATTTCATGCAACATATATAATTTTTGTTTCCAATCATTTTTGATTATTTTTGGTAAATTTTCTCTCAAATTACCTTTGTTTGCATAATCCATTACAGCCATATAATTATCTGGACTTTTTGTAAATCCATAAAAAGAAATAATATCATATGAATCTAAACAACTTTCATGATATTTCCACTACAAAATAATAATAATATGTTGGTATAAATAAATCAATAAATTATAATTTAAATTAAAAAATAAGTGTTATACTATCATACTTCATTTAAAAATTCATTTAAATTTTCATTAAAATTATTGCGACATTTAAGAATTACTTCTCTGTCTCCATCATTATTTAACCAAATAGCTTTGTATATAGTACTATATTCTCCCTCATTAAGATATTCAACATTTCTAAAGTTATTATAGGAAATCCACTTTAATTTTTTTTCAATAATAAATTCATCTATAATTTTATTTCCACTTCTTCCAAATCTATAAATTTAAATAATTAAAATTAAAGTTTATTTATATTTAAATTTTATATAGAATTTAAAATTAAAAAAATAACTAATATTAATACTTACTCTAAATTTAAGTAGGATTTAATAAATATTACCTTTTAGTTTTTGTATAATATATATATACACAAAATAACCTATAATTAATAACTTACCAACTAAAATAACAGATGTTTTTTAAATAAAGAATTCAGGTAACTATAGCTGAAATGAATATTATATAAATATACAACAATAAAAATAATTAATAACTTACATGCTGTAATATTAAATTTATATTCTATAATAAATTACCAAATTAATTTTTTAAATAAAAAAAAATTCAATTAGTTTGAATTATGTAAATATTATGTAAATAATTAACATATATAACTTACGTTCTAAATAAATTACCAAATTAATTTTTTAAATAAAAAATTTAATTAGTTTGAATTATATGTAATTATGTAAATATGTGTAATAATAGAATTAAAGAAATAACTTATAACTTACGTTCTAAAATACACCGAATAATTTTTGAAATGAAGAATTTAGTTAGTTTAAATTATATAATATTAGAATTAAATAAATAACTTATAACTCACGGCGGTCTAAAGTAAATTACCAAATAATTTTTTAAATAAAAAATTTAATTAGTTTAAATTATATGCAAATATTATATAAATATGTAATAATAAAATTAAATAACTTATAACTTACGTTCTAAAATAAATTACCAAATATTTTTTAAATAAAGAATTTAGTTAGTCAATTATATGTAAATGTTATAACAGAATTAAATAAATAGCTTATAATTTACCAGCTAAAATAAATTACCAAACGGGAAGAATTAATTTTTTTTAAAATAAAGAGTTTGGTTAGTTTAAATTATACGTGAATAGTTTATATAAGTATGTAATGAGTAAATTTATCATCTCCCATAGCGATCTCGTCTGGGCAAATTACGTAATACAAGCCAAATTAATAATGCAAGTGATATTTCGGGACGCAAATAGATATTTACAATGTTCCAGAATAGAGGGGTGTGACGCAGGTAACAAAAAGGTAGCACGTGCGACGAATAAATTATTTTACATGTAATAATAGATTAAATAAATAACTTTTAACTTAGTTGTATCATGATGATCGTGGGATATATAAAGTTTGCTTAGTAATCAAAATGAAACACGGATCCGGTTTTCCTCAGCTTTATATGGCAACAAAAAGTAGGCTTATAATAAATTACATCCTAAAATAAATCATCAAATAGTTAGTTATATGTGGCTAAATATGTAATAGTAAAATCAAATAAATAACTTATAACTTACCAGCTAAAATAAATTACCAAATAATTTTTTAAACAAAAAGTTTTGTCATATTATATAAATATTTTTTTAAATAAAGAATTTAGTTACATGTAACACATAAATATATACTAATAATAGAATTAAATAAATAAGAATATAGTTAGTTTAAATTATTAAATTATATAAATATATAATAATAAAAATAAATGACTTACAATCTATATTATTAAATAATTTTTTGAATAAAGAATTTATTTAGTTTAAATTATACGTAAATATTATATAAATATGTAATAATAGAATCAATTATATAACTTATAGCTTACCAACTAAAAGGAATCACCAAATAATTTTTATTTAAAGAATATAGTTAGTTTCAATTATACAAATAATAGGAATATAGATGACATATAACTTACACCCTGTAGTATTATTAATTTTAATTAGTTAGATGTAAAGTATATAATGTAAATTAAATATAATATATCACTTACAATCTAATCATTTAAATAAAGAGTATAATTAGTAAAATTATATAAAATATTAAACGAGTATATATTATTATTTTTAAATATTGTAACTTACCATCTGTAATATAATTTATTATTGAATAGTTATTTAAGTAAAGAATTTAGTTATTAAATATTATGTAAAATAAAGTAAAGGATAATGATTTAAATAACTGATAACTTACTAACTATAGTATTATTAATTATTAAATGAATTATTTAGTTATAGGAATATAACAAAAATGAGATACTTTTATTATTCAATTATAAGATAACGGACTGATAACCTATTAACTTACGAGCTAAATTATTTAAATCAATGTTAATATTACATTATTATATAAATTATAATAATATTTAAATTATTTGCAAATAATTCTTATTTTAGTTAAATAAATATTTATATATTATATTTACCTTCAGATTCCTTGGTGCCACTTGAAACTTATTGCAATTTGATTGATTTGATTAAAAAATTTTAGAATAATTCAAATTTATATTAAATATTCATGTTATATGCTTTTACCTCTGTCGTTATTATGAGTCATTGCTATATAATTATACCAAAACTCTTTTTTAACTGAAAAAGATAATGTAAATATTTGTTCTTCAATTCTTCAATTAAACGCCTTGGGTATATATTGTTGATCATGTATGACAAATGCGTGCCAAGCCTCATTGTAGCGCAGCAAAACTAAGACTCAGCCACAAATCATACTACACTTCTGATTGGTTGACCATTTGCACCTGATTTAATCACAAAAATTTAAACGCGGTTTATAATTCTCCCATTTTTACGCAGTAAATTTTAAGTCTTTCGCCCAAGGATTCTTTGATCCGCCTTAGGTTGAATAGATTAAAGGACTTGGGACTTGGGATTAGAGTGTGTCAAAATACCAACCTATATTAGTTAATTTTGAGTTTCCTTTGTCACATGTAATGAAAAAAGTTTTTTTACTTAATTTTTTGAACTTTAATGGTGTAAAAAAAAAATATTGAGATATTATTAATATTGCTAACAAAGTTGATTTACCAAAAAGAAAGAAGCTGAAAATTTTTTTATCTATGATAGATAGTTAATATGTTAGGAGTGACAGACAAAACTTTAACTGTTAAGTCAAGTCAACGTCTGCGTCACATTGCCACGTGACTGTTGTAGACTTTTTTAAAAAAAAAAATTTAAATTTTTTTTTTTTTATGATACTAAACTCTTGATGTGAAATGCCTTGGATTTAAACTTTTGACATGATTTACTTTTATATTATTGGACTTGATATACATATACTTGTGTGTTTCAACTTTCAAGTTTTAATTTTTTTTATGTACTATCATAACGAGAAAATAGAAATATCAGTTAACTTAGCCACTAATCTTCCTCTTACTTCATTATAAACAAATATAAATGCTAATAGAGAAAATGGTGATAATAATGTGGATTTAATTTAGTTAATAATGGTTTGAATAGATTAGAAGAATAGATAAGTAAAAATGTTAAGTTAAAGAGTAGGAAATGAAATTTATTTTTTTTTAATACATAAAATTAAATAACAATTTTTGAACTTGTTAAATATAATATTTATATTTTGATACATCAAGCCGTATGAATTTACGTCAACAACATAGCACAACAAGGCGCAACCAACACCTCTACTGTAGTTATTTTGCATTCTAATCCAGTATAAATCCGCAAAATTCACATTGCTTATATATATCGAATTTATTATCTGGATTTGAATCCGAACACTTTTTTTTCACTTGAATGCAAAATGAACCAAAGTATATTTATAGTTAAAAAATAATGTTCGCCCAAATTCAAATCATTGGAAAAAATGAATAAATTGACATTATAACACTAGAAAAAAATAGAACGAAGGATGAGAGAGAAGGGAAAAGAGGAAATGGAAAGGACGAGAGAGGGAAAATGAAGGGGAATAAAGCGAGTGGAAAGGATAAGGGGATGAGAAAAAGGGAAAGGAATGAAGAGAGGGGGAAAGTGCGAGGGAAAGGGAAAAAGGAAAGGAAAGAACGAAAGAGAAGAAAAGAGAAGGGAATAGAGTACTAATGGAGCGAGGGGATGAGATGACGAGAGAGAGGGAAAGAAAGAGAGGAGGAAAAGTGGAATAGAACGAGGGAAAAGGATGAGGAGACGAGAGAGAGGGAAAAGTGCGAGGGAAGGGAGGATGAATAAGAAGGAAAGGGAAGCGAGGGAAAAGAATGGGGGAAAAAGAATGGGAAAAGGGAAAGGAAAGGACGAGAGTGGGAAAGGGAAAGGGAAAAGAATGAGGGAAAGGAAGAGAGGGAGAAATGGAAGAGGAAAGAGCGAGGGAAAATAAACATATACCACACATACCCACACCACCCACATACATACCTAAAATAAGATGTAAATAAATGTAAAGAAAAGAAACCCTAATAAAGAAAACCTAAAGAAAAAAGAGGACAGGAGAAGAGTCCTAATAAAGAGAAACCTAATCGGTATTACCGGGATTAATGTCTAGTTGATAAAGTTTACGTATTTTTCGTAATACTTGAAGGTTTTTTTTTTAAAATTTAATAGTAACGCATTTATTAATTATGATTAATCAAAAATAATACACAATTATACAAACACCTAGAAATAATATAAATAAATTATATTACCCTCTATTGTGTAAAAGCATTACTAATCTAAAAATATTTTATAAATTTTTTTCTAATTTTTTTTTATATTTTCCTATGTTTTCTAAATTTTCGAATTTTCTAAAATCATAAACTAAAAACAACATTGGCAGAAAAATAAATCAAATGTAAAAATTCCTATTATAATCTAAAAAAAAAAAACAAATTGAGATAAAAAAAAACAATAAAACAAAAACAATATAAATATAAATTATTAAGAAATAAAAAATCTTAAATCTACGCCCTTGACGGAAATGAATCCAAAAATCGGTCGAAATTCCTTATCGTCCGCGTGTTATCTTCAACCAAATCCCAGCGCAAATCCAAAAACCTTAATCTTAACTTTGTTTCATTAATAAGGACAAATTTGTTTATTCGCTATCGGAATCTTCTCTTCGTCCTTGCGTTGCCACAACACGTTTTTTGTTTTCGTTAAATTTGTCTTTCTCTGTACTCGATAATACTTGAAGGTTTTTTTACCAGTACCAGCTATAACGAAGTACATATAGCTAAGACATTCAAACAAGTTTTAATCACAAACTTCGTGATGTTTTTATCGAATGTTGATAAAATTTAAAAAAATATCAAGTAATATCATAAATACCTCTTGAAACACCCAGATTTATAAAAAAAATAATATATATTATTGCCTGAGATCAACATCATCGTTTTGATGACCAAAATTTCTTTGCTCCAATTTTCTCTTCATATATTCAGGTATATGAATTTCGACCCAAACTTAGTTCTATCACAATCATTTACATTGAGAAAAGGTGACGAGTATGGTTTCGAAGCTTTCCTTTAGGGTTTTTTGTAGTAGAATATGCATAAGTTTATACAAATGGATATTATATAGTTCTCATTAAGATAACAACGTATAGTCCGAACCCGAAATATCAATTACCATTATTGCTGAATGTTCTAATTTTGCATCCTCATTCCTAGTTGGCCTTTTGCAAGGGGTTTTTGTTAATAGAAATAACGTATCTCATATAACTAATAATTTAAACCCAGAATTTGCTCATTTTCAAGGCGGTAATCTTGCGGTTAACATAAGTAATGTAATCAGTAACAATGATAAATTGAAACTTGAGTATAAAAGTTATAATTTACTATACTAGTAAACGCGAATTTGCCGCTGTAACTTTTGTACATTCGATACAATAGCGGTAGAAGGGAAGCAATAAAGATTATAATATACAACAGGGGACATCCTTATATTATCACGCTATTGCCGATCATTTCAATTATTTATTCGATATTATCTCATGAAGAAAATACGATTATTGGGCTATTTTTATTGCAAATTGTATAAAACCAAAATAATTTTTATTTAACTTTGTTCATGTAAAATTGATTGAGAAATGATGTTTTGAAAATTTATATTTATTACATAAATTATAACAATACAATTGCAAGTATTTATTTAATGATAACTTCTCGGTTATTAAAAATTATTCATGGTTATTTTAGTCATTAATTCTTGAATACCTAATTAACTGTTAATATATTGTAAAAGTTTCAAATTTCGCCCGAAGCTTTAAAGTATTAGAAAATGGTCGACATACAATCATACATATTAATTATTGAAAATTTTCGCCTAAAGCTAACTTTGGAACTACATTTTATTTTGCCACAAAATTTTTATACCAAAATATTAATATATGAAACTACTAAATAAAATAATTTAAAATTATTTTTTAGAATATTTATGGCCTGAAATAAAGTTTCAAAATTAGTGTGATATCACATATGATCGGTAAATGATCGACATGTGATATAAGGTACTGTATGTCTCCTTAACCTAACCTAAGTGTAGACCTTAAACCTAAACTGGGGTGTACGATAAGATTTGGTATGATTCATAATCATCTTATTATATGTATGTTCTAGTTCCGTTTGCTCTGTACGCATTTGAGTTTAAATTTCGTCTTGAAAGGTATGTCACTTTCTTTTTTAATTTATTAATTTATTATTTTATTTTTATTTTATTTTACAGTTGAAGTAATTTTTTAAATATAGAATATACTGAAATATTTTTTATTGAAAACTTAGGATAAAAAAGCGAATATATTATTAGTGTTAAGCTTAAAGGTCCCAAAAGCCTTTACATAAATTCTTTAGTCATGTTTTATTAGTAAAAGACATAAAATATATAAATTTTATATATTTAGTTCAATAATATGGTCTATTTATCTTTTAATAATAAATAATATATTTATAACAAATTTTATAAATGAAATAAAAATTGCAAGAATTATAGTTATTTTAGATAAATATTTCTTATTTCTTTGCTCATTTTCTTAAAAACACTAATACAATAATTTTTTTATATAAGATAAATATTTCTTCGCGCGAAAAACAACACGAAAATTTTTCTAAGATAAACACAAAACGAAACTTGACCAATGAAATTCATCAAATTTTAATAGTACACCCCAGTTTAGGTTTAAGGTCTACACCCCACAACCCCACATTAGGTTAAGGATGCTCATGTCCACCCTGTTATAATATACTGCGTTATCGATACCTGATGCTTATTATTATTTTGAGTTTTTAATAATAACCCTATAACTAACCAATCTATCTATAACAATACTATAGACTAAATTAAAATAGAATATGTAATTTTTTTTTTTTTTTTCATTGAGCCAATCGAGGATTTTATTGATATTGATGTAATGGTATGAAAGTGTAACTTGATTATACATGCATATTCAGTACAAAAATACTTACTACAAAAATACTACTAAGTTACGAAAGCTAGCTAATAGAGTCACTAAAACCCAGAAGCCCGCCTTCTCAAATCAAACGGATTATATAAAAAAGGATAAAACTCACCCAGAAAAAGGCGAACAGGAAAGAAGACTATAACTAAAGGAATGGAAAC